CCTTTATCTGGAAATCTGGCTAGCTCCCTTTGCTGACTTGAGGCCAGGAAAATTACAGCCCTTTCTGTGGGCAGGCATGGATTAAGAGCAGCAGTGTGGGCCTGTAATGTTCCAGGGTCCTGGGATGGTGTGCTTCCCTCTGGGCTGCCATGGCCATCCCCACACTTAGTTAGCACCAAGAACATTCTGGACTCTTGCCCTATTCTCCACTGTCCTGCCATTCTTCCTCAACAGTTCTGACACCCAAGTCTCTTCTCTTTGCTGTACTCCCAGTCTTTGCTCCCTACTGCCTCCACTTTCCACCCTCCTCATATCCAGATTTAGTTCCAAAATGAATGAAACGGAATGTTTTAGTCCCACTAATTCCCAAGAGACCTGATCTTGTGAGAAAAACTTCCTTCATGGAGCTGTAGTTCTCCAAATTTGCACTTATCTGTCTTTTCTAGTTTGCAGTCCCTTGTAACTGTTAAAAATGTTCTGAAACTGTCCACAGATATACTGCATTAGGGGTGAAGTGTGGTGTCTGCCTGACCCCTACCTGCTACATGAACAGGAAACAACTTAAACCCCTTAACTTGGATGCCAGATTTATGAGTGCCTGACCCATGTCCAACTCTGTGTCATGCTCTCTTGTCAGAGTTCTTGCCACGAGGATTGTCCCCATATCTGGATGCTACTACCACTTTGACCTGTTTTTGCTCCCCTCCCTGTTCAGTTGTCTGACATTTGCTTATTTTCCAAAGCCAGTTCAATTGTCCTCTGCTAGAGTGGAGAGATAACTGTCATCATTCAACAAATGAAGAACTTGTTCTGAACTATACTAGTGAACTATGTAGACAAAGAAGTCCCACCTGTAAGTTAAGACATCTGAATTCCATGAAGTACTGGATTGAACAACTGTCTCTGGTCCTTTACTCAAACTTCCTACTAACTGTCCCTGAGGGACAGCTGGTGATAGCTCAAGTAGTTGAGACTTCCTGCCATCCACATGGGAGACCTAAAGTTAGTGCATAGCATCTGGCTTTGTCCCAGTCACGACCTCTGTGGGCATTTGGGAGTGAACCAATCTCTCTCTCTCTCTCTCTCTCTCTCTCTCTCTCTCTCTCTCTCTTCTCCTCCATCTTTTCCTCCCTCCTTCTCAAGTAATACTTTTAAAAATTTTTGAGAATTCACATCCTAAGGCCAGTGTTTACAGGACATTGGTCCAGCTGCCTCTTATAACACTAGCATGCTGTGTAGGCTCTTGTGGAAACCCTGGCTACTCCACCGCTAATCCAGCTCACTGCTAGTGCACCTGGGAAAGCAGCAGAGGATGGCTTAGTTACTTGGGACCCTGCCATTCATATGGGGAGCTGGACAGAGTTCTGGCCTACGGACTTCAGCCCTGGCCATTGCTGCCATTTGGGGAGTGAACGAGCAGATGGAAGAGAGTCAGTCTCTCTCTCTTTTGCTCTCTCTCTTTCTCTGTGCAAATCCATCTTTTCTTAGTCCATATTTATTTTCATTTGCTTTTTCTTTTTAGTATTTTTTAACTAGCTGAGAGATAGGAACACCTGTGTGGATATCTGATTAGGGTAGGAGGTTCAGGCATGGAGGAAGGTAGATGGGAGATATGTTTCAAATGTTTTTTCTCCTATCTGCTGGGAAGGAGTGGGAGGGGGCCACTCCTTGCTGTCAAAGCACATCAGCACGTGGGGATTGGGGACAGTCATTTGGTGACACCTTAGAGACCCTGATGTAAAAAGGAGTGTTCTAAGGATGTGACTTGAGTGGTCTGGATAGTTCTGAGAGTTGTTGGTTTTGTTGCTCCAAGGCTGAGCTGAACTTTCCAAGGTCTATAGGTTGACAGAGTTCACCTTAGCACTTCCACAGACCCAGAAACATGCTGCAAAGCTTGGCCAGAATTGTCCAACCTGTTCTTCTTCCCATCCTCTGATGAGGCAGTTGACATTCCCTACTGGCCTAGATGAGCTAGTCATGTCCCCTGGGTACATCTGGACATACTATCCATCACACAGATATCAGCAACTGAGGAGGCCCAGTCCAGACACACACACTCTGAGGTCTGACTACACATCCTGTGAGTTTCAGGCCAAGGTCTGAATCCAGTGGTCTAGTCAGGGAGTCCCCAAAGAAACCTCACCTGGGATGACCTCAGATCTGATTCCCTGTGTGCCAGCCAATGCAGGTGCAGGTGCAGTCTGTCAGCTTCACCAGCCAATGCGTATACTGCTGGATGCAGCTGGCTGGTCAGTTCTACCCCAGCCTCATATCTTTCACATGAACTGACTAGAATAGTCCAGCCAGCCTGCCACTGACCCAGTCCTCACATATACCAGAGGGTGTCATGTCCTAATCAGGACAACTCTCCAAAACCAGGTCCACAACTCTCTCACCAGGTCCAATACTTGTGTGTGCCAGCCTCTGCAGATCCTAGCCTAGCCCAGCCACATTCCATTCAGCACACCTGTGGGTACTGCAGCTTGGTTCAGCCCAACCCTCCCCCAAATCCAGCCCTCATATATGCAGATAGGTCCTGCTACCTTGTGCAACCTGGCCCATACCCTGCTCTGTTTCTTGTGCTCACTTGTGATTAGTACAGCCTATCAGGGGAATACCCATAGTTCTGCTGCCAGGTCCCAAATCTTGTGCCTTCCAGAATGTACTGTGGCACAGCTTGGCAGGCCTACACCCATTCTGGCTCTTACGTGTGCCAGTTGATTCAGCAGCCTAGCCCTGCCTGGCTTGCCCCCAGACCACCCTTCCCCTAGTCCCAGCTCTCATGGTCACCAGCAGAAGCAGCAGCCCTACAAGGTAGTCCCTGATTTTCCCCTGCTAGGCCTATTCGCAGAGCTGGATCTTGCATGTGCCAACAGGTACAGTGGCCCAATCTGAGACGAACCACCCCCAGAGTTGGCATTCACCAACAAATGGTTCAGCCTGTCTTAGCCCAGCCCGCCCCTGGTCCCAGCTCTTGCTGGTGGCAACTCTGCCTTTCTAGTAAATAAAGAAATCTTGGGGGAAAATATTCCCCATTTTCACATCAGTTATAGTCTAGAGGGATCATATGGCAATTCTGTGTGATTTGTTTGAGTGATGACTGAACTGTTTTCCAAGTTATTGCACCATTTTACATGCCTTCCCCAACTCCTGCCTGCCTGCAAAGCTCAAACGCTCTGATTTTGCTGCATCCTGAACAATATTTATTTTCTCTGATTCTGATGATGACCATATTAATGGGTTTTGGTTTTGATTTCATTTCCCTAATCTTTAGATAGGCATGTTGATCAGTTCCAAAATTTTGACCTATATATTAAAAGGAAGGGAGTTGCTATGAAATAAGATGGGGATAATTATGAGAAGAACAGACTTTGAAGGAAAAATCCAAAACTAATTTACAGACACATGTTTGATTTCTTAGTGAAGGTACTGGGGAGCAACAGGATCTATGATTCAGGCGACAGGGCAAGCCTAGTCATAATAATTTTGAAGTCATTAATAAATAGACAATGTAACAACACACACACACAAACAAAAAAAATAGACAATGTGTAAAATCATGAGATTGAGTGATACTCCGAGAAACTGTGTCTAGAGAAGAGATGCAGTCGGAAGACTAAGCTCTTGAGCTCATTTACCTGATGGATGAGAGATGCAGAGGAATTAACAAGGGAAAGAGTTGAGAGAGTGAAGGACAGCTGTTGCACCCTGAAAGCCAAGTGCAGACACTGTATCTAGAAGAAGGGAATGATGTATTGGCTCAATGTGGCCGGAAGCTGAGGAGGCAAGAATGTGGATTGTTAACACTGAGTGTGTTAGTACTTCTGTACATGCTTTCTATTTCTCCTTGTGTCTTGATCAAACTTCCCTGTAGTAATGCAGAGTAACAAACAACTCTAAAATTACAGCGGCTACAACAGTGGTTTACTTATGCCCAGGTTGGCTGTTGCTCTCAGCTGAACGCAACTGAGCAGGCTAATTTCAGACTTTGAACATGTCTCTTTCTGGAGGCAGTGGCTGTTTTGCACGTACTTTTCTCATGACAAATGCTAGAATTACAAGATGGAAACCCAAAACACGCATGTATTTTCTAAGCCTCTGCTTGTAACAGATGCACTCACAAGCCGCTGGCCAAAGCAAACTGCAGTCAAGCCCCACGTCATAGGCCACCACCCTCAGGAATTTTGACTCTTCATCACTTACTATCATTCCTAGGGTTTCAATTTCTGGATTCATGAGGTCATTCCCGTTCTCGTACAGACCTGCCCTAGACTCTAATCAAACAAATGGCAGTGACTCATTCCAGATCTCCTTACCATCCAGTGCAAGCTCCCTGCTCTGGGCTCCAGTGATGTACTTATGTCTCAGATTTTTACACCAACCTTATTATCCAGTATTTTGGGAGATCTGCATTTCAAAGTGTTCCTTTTAAGCAAACCTCTTCTCTGGATTCCCACTGAGTTCCAGAGGTCTCTCATAGGATTCCACCAAGGCACCCTCTTTGGGCCCTTCATTTGGATGCCACTGCTTCTCTATTCCACTAGATTCCTCTCTTCCTGTTTTCTCCAGGAAACAGTTTCTTTTTTAAACATTCATTTGCAAGGCAGAGTTGGGTGGGGGAGATGTACATGTCTAGAGATTTTTCACATCCACTGTTTCACTCCCTTTGCATCCACCGTGGCCAGGGCAGAGCCAGGCAGGAGCCAGGAACCGGGAGCTTCCTTCTGGTCCTCCCACATAGACGTGGGCCATCTGCCAGTGGTTTCTCAGCATTAGGGAAGAGCCGGATCAGAAGTGGAGCAGCCAGAGTTAGAACCAGTAACCATACAGGATGGCATCATTGCAAGCCAGACCCCCAGAAAATAGTTTCTGATAAGCTACTCCCACCCCTCATACTTCCCTCAGATGCTGACTAACCTTGGTCACCAGAGAGGAGGTAGAACATCTCTGTTCCCACCTGCATCTCTCACCATCACTTGGATCTGCTGGCTTTCCTATAGGTGATTTATGCCCTGAACACCCGTCAGGATGAGGCTGAGGCCAGCATGGAAGCCCTGCGCGAAGCCCACCAGGAGGAACTCCAGGACGCGGTGGCCAAAGCCAAGGCCAAGCTCCTGCAGGAAAAGGGCTGCAATGAAGACCAGGAGACACTCCTCCAGCGCATCCAGACCCTGGAGAGTGCCCTCGAGCTACAGAAGAGGCTGACACAGGAGGCGCTGGCTGAGTCGGCCACATGCAGACTGGAGACCAAAGAGAGGGAACTGCGGGTGGAGGCAGAGCACGCCGAGCGGGTGCTGACGCTCTCCAAGGAAATGCTAGAGCTCAAGGCCGACTACGAGAAGAGGCTGCGGCACCTGAGCAGCCATGAAGTGCCCCAGTGGGGCCGGCTTTCCCAGGAGAGCCCAGATGCCAAGGCAGAGCCAGGCCAGGGCCCTGAAATGCAGGACGTGCTGCTGGAGGTGGAGCGGCTGCGGGTGGAGAACCAGCAGCTAAGCCAGGACTATGCCCGCAAGGCAGAGGAGCTCCAGGCCACCTACGAACGGGAGAACGAGGCCATCCGACAGGCCATGCAGCAGTCCGTGAGCGAGGCCCTATGGCAGTGGCAGGAGAAGGAGACCGATCTCCGCAAGAACTTCCAGGTCCAGGAGTCAGCCCTGCAGTCCCAGGTCAGGAAGCTGGAGGGCGACCTGGAGCACCGAGGCCGCAAGATCAGTGACCTGAAGAAATATGCGCAGAGGCTGAAAGAGAGGATTCAGGTAAGGTGTGGTGAACATAGCTGCTCTTTTGAACCCCTTTAACTGCTAGGCATGATACTAAGCTAAGCCTTGCCTCCACTAGGGAATGAATGACATTCATTCAGTAAATACTTAGGGTATACCTACCATGTGCCAAGTCTGGTGCTAGCAGCAAGACCACATGATGAGCTACACTTGGTCCCTAACTTGAGAACACAGTCTTAGGATTTGCAGGTGAGAAGACAAGACTGAAATTGAAAGGCCAAGGACTGGCCCAGCTGGGCACATGGTGAATATGTTTCTGACCTAGAGCCCCTGCTCACTTCATAACAATCTCTCCATCCTAGAATCCTAGTACTCTTGTGATCAAAGATGGTATGACCGTTTGTGAGTCCGTTACATGAGCCCTACAAAGATACAGGGTTCCATCTATAAAAGTACCTGCCACTAATAGTCCTACTATGCCTGAGCATTTCTTCTTGTACCAGATACTGTATCTCATTGAATCCTCTCCCAATAATTTCCCCACATCCACACAGCCAATCAGAGTCAGATGAACAGGCGTTTGATGAGGCCTGAACCACTAATTCCAGAAAGCAGTAATTCTGCTGTACACTCACCCACCTTTCAGAGTTGACACTTGTTCTGTATATCAAGTATGTTATACCCAGAACTGTAACCATACATCTGAGATCTCCTGTCTGTTTAGGACCTGGATGTGCAGCTCAAGGAGGCTCGGCGAGAGAACACGGAGTTGAAAAGTACTGCAAAAAAGCTTGGGGAGAAGCTGGCAGTAGCCAAAGACAGACTGATGTTGCAGGAGTGTCATGTGGCACAGAAAGCTGGTGAGATGGCCCTGGATGATTTCTCTTTTTATTTAAACATACATATTTATTTATATTTGTGAAAGGCCAAATGACACAGAGAGAGAAAGAGGACAAACAGAGAGAGGTCTTCCATTTGGTGGTTCACTCCCCAAATGGCCCTAAGCCCTCAGGGCTTGGCCAAGCTAAACCCAGAAATTGCTTTTCTGCTGCCTTCCTAGGCATACTAGCAGGATGCTGGGTTGGAAGCAGAGCAGCCAGGAGCCAAAATGGTATTCTGATATTGGAGGCCCCATCACACAGTTGAATGATTAATGATAAAAGTTTGCCTGTAAGACTGGCCTGTTTCTCCTGGCCGCCATGAGACTCCTTAGGGAGCAGAGAAAAGGGGCAGGACTGTTTGGCTCACCTGGTATTTGAGTCCAATTTCTGCTGAACACAGGTGAGCTGAAACCTAGAGCTGCCAGGCCAGACAGCCAAACGACGGGATGCAGAAGGACCACAGCTTCCACATTTCACCACCAGTCCCACCACAAAGTTCACATTCTCAGCCCTGGCTTTCCACCATCCCCTCCACCAGGCTCAGCCAAGGCTTTGTTGGGTGTTTAACATCATCTCACACACTCACATTACTGGATCTTCCCAGTAATTTTGTGTAGTGGATGTTGTCAATCTCCTGTGTTACAGGAGACTGGAACTGTTTATCTGCTAGGATAAAGCAAAGAGACTGAATGAGGATGAGTCACTGGCTCAAGTTCAGTCAATTTATTGGTGATAGTACTGCTGTTTGCACTTGGAACATGTGTACTCCAAATACTTTCCACCAGGCTCCCTCCATATGAAGTTCTTGAATACCTACAGTGTGATTGGCCTAATGCTGGAAGATACGAAAAAGGTACTAAACATGACCTGTACTTTCCAGGCGCCAACGAGTCTGTTACACTGTAGACCATGGCATTCTTTATTGCCAGGAACATGGCCCAGGCATGTTATGGGAAAAAAAAAAGATGGGCTGGGAAGATGAGAAGAGGTTTACATTCAAACTAGAAAGGTTTTGTATGAGTTAGTATGCCCAGAGTTAGTATGGTAGTTTCAAATCAAGGCATAGGAACCCTTCAGGAAATAAAAAGTGAAAAACCAACAATTCAAAGGATATTTGTTAGCCATCTGATCCCTAGATCTCTATTTCAACCGAATATAAAATGTAATTTGTAGGAAGTACAATTTAAAAAAAAGTACAATAAAAAAATCACTAGTTTAAGAAGAAACAGATTATAACAATATTTAAGCTTAGAATGGTGTTTCATGAATTTATCTGGACAATAAAATGCTGGATGCTATGCTCTATTGCTCTTGCAATGAAAGAATCTTGACTGAATTTGAAATGTAATACAGCAATAAGGTGGAGGAATCCACCATGGGGGGAGGGTATAGGGAGGGGTTGGGGGATTCCCAGAGCCTATGAAACTGTGTCATGTAATGCAATGTAATTAATAAATATATATATTTTTAAAAAGATGCTGTTTCAGCAAGGATGAGAATCACTACACCTTGACAATGAAGTCAGCAGACCTTGTGCCATTGATTACTTGTGCCGGGGTGTGTGGTGGGATGGATGTTGACTAGCTGAATGGGAAGCCAACTGCAGAAAACCTTGGATATGAGGGCATGGCCAAGAGCATTTCAAATGATGTTGAAACTCATGCTTGCAGATGACATGAAGACTGAGCGAGTTCCAGAGAATGAAGTCCTGGTGGAAGCGAATGACTCAGAAGCCTGCAGTCTTCATTCTCAGCAGGACCAAAGCTCTCTCAAGGAGTGTTCATGCGCCAAAGTTGGCACAGACACACAGGTAGTGTCTAGCATGGCCCTGCAGCTGAATGGCTCATAATAGACTTGGCTGGCGTGAGCTTTGGACAGGGACCACAGCCCAATCTCCTTAGATCTACTTGAACTCAGCAGTTACCATGGTTTTAGGAACAAATGAAGCCAGAGTGGCATCCTAGCCAACTTCCTGCCAACCTGTTGTTGTTGGAAACTAGAAGATTGAGAGTGTAACAGAATCATCCCAGTTCGTCAGCAACACCTCTTGGGTGGGTGGAAATCTTAGGGTCCCAATATATGTTACTAATCCAAATAACAAAACACTTTTCAGAAACAGCTGTAGTATCCGGCTGGAATGGCTGCTGCTGCTGCTGCTACAATAGCTACAGCATTCCAAAGAGCCTCTTCCTACTGATAGAGCAAGTTAAACCTTGTATAAAAGTCTAACATTGAGACTTACAAAATGTGCTGCACCTTGCGAAACATGTGGCTAAATCAGTCTACCAACATCCTAAAAGTTGTCTGACAGGAAAATGGTGCCTCCCTGCTCCCCACCCCTCCCTGGTAATTTAACAAGTCTTCTTTTTTCTTTTCATAGACCAAAAGAGATGCAAGCATTGAGGCAGAATATATGAAGCAACGATTTGAAGAAGACCTTCGTAAAATCAAACACCAGACGGACGAGGAGAAGAAGCGCCTAAAAGAGCAGCTGGTAAAGCGCCTGGAAGACTTGGTGAAAAAGCACACCCTGGAAATCAAATCAGTTCGCTCAGCTGTCGAAGCTGAAAGAAAGAAGCTGCAGAAGGTAAGGACCCTAGCCTTCTAGCCTTGAGATTGTTCATCTTCGTCCTCCTCTCTCTCCACCAACTTCCTCCCCACAAACATTTCCTGAGCTCCTGCTGGCCATAAACCCAAGCTGGGACTCTGCCTGCTTAGTGACGAATGTGGTCTCTGACTGCAGGCAGTTCCAGAACATTCCTAAGACCGTGAGACATTAGAAACATGAGTTGTTGACATGGAATAGAATTGTGTCATCTGAGCATTTGATGTAGGGATATTCAACTTCACTATGCAGAAACATAGGTGAAAATACCATGAGCCAAAATGTCAGGCCTGGAGGACTTCCTGGATCTAAGTCTCTACTCTGCTACTACAAAGCAAGTTGTGTTACTGGAATTTTCCCAGGGAGCCTCAGACTCCTCATTTGTGAAATGATTGATGATAATAATAGCATATCCTTGAATAACTGTGAGGCCTTACTGAGGGATCAGTGTGAGGAAGCAAAGCTTGCCCTAGTACCTGGACGATGGTGTCATTAGTCAGTGGCATTCTGTGTGCAGGGAGAGTCCCATTATCTGTGCCTTGTTTACACCTCCCACCTGAGAGGGGCAGCTCACTGCCAGCAAGGCTTGCAAAGCCTCTAGTCCCCATTCTGTTGGGAAAAGCAGATCATACATGTTGAGATTAAAGAAAAAGAACCAAGGATAAACTTGCCGTCATTGTGAACATACATGTGATGCTTTATTTGATAAGAAAGGGTTTTTTCTGTAATCCAAGAGACTGCATTGCCAGCATTGAGTGTCCACTGATAGATAATCATATATCCTAGGGGATGCAGTGTTGTGTGGTGACGGAGAATGCTAAGTACTCAAGTTAGCATGGAGATCCATACTTGTTCCAGAGCCTGAGTCTAGACTATTCTGCCAGCTGTGTGACTAGGAACAGGTCATTTAGCCTCTCTGAAGCCTAATTCTTAAAACAGGAGAAAACTGTTGGAGGATTTGTTAGTCCACATGAAATGTGGTAGTCTATCAATCCTTAGTTCAGTACATAGCATGTAGTACTATTCTTAATTATCATGTACCTTGGATGACATAATATAAGATACTATTATTACCTAGTCCCCATTATGCCTTGTATTCAGGAATGCATTTAAGGGTCCAGCACAGTTGCCTAGTGGGTAAAGTCCTGGCCTAGGATTACCGGGAGCCCATATGGGTGCCGGTTCTAATCCCGGCAGCTCCACTTTCCATCCAGCTCCCTGCTTGTGGCCTGGGAAAGCAGTTGAAGATGGCCCAAGACTTTAGGACTCTGCACCCGCGAGGGAGACCAAGAAGAGGCTCCTGGCTCCTGACTTCAGATGGGCTTAGTTCTGGCAATTGCAGCCACTTAAGGAGTGAACCAGCAGATGGAAGATCTTTCTCCTTGTATCTCTTTTTCTCTGTAAATCTGACTTTCCAATAAAAAATAAAACTTAAAAAAAGAATGCATTTAATCTTTCCACAATGTTACAAAACAAGTGTTCATATCCCCATTTTTAGAGCTGTGGAAACTGAACTCAAAGATGTGGTCTACCGACTCATGTAGATAGTGGATGGTGGCGGGACAATTTCATGCTGACAGCCTGCTCCCAGAGCCCACGGGCCTGGCACTCCCATGCGGGTGAGCGGCTCTAGTGGAAGCACGTTTCTCCCCATGAGCTGTGGCTGGCTGCATGAATCCCATCTTCAGGTGAAGAGCTGAATGCCTTTTCCATCCTGAACTCGATCAGGAGCAGGGACAGCAGTTCTCCCAAGCTGCAAGTTGCCTGTCAAGCAGACCTGACTCTGGCTGTATAAATTCCCTTCCAGATTCAATAAATGAGTAGGAGTCCATTTAAGAAATGAATTGTAGACATAGAAATGCTGTTCACTTCCCAGTTGTTGCTCTTGGTTTATTTTTTTTTTTTTTATCGTGTCCAGAACCTGCAAATGTACCATAAATAATTATGCCAGGCAAATTATAGGAAAGTAAAACCTTGAAAAGACCTTCAATCTAGGATTTATGCACTAAAAACAGATACCATTTCCCCCTGTGGAACGGGTGGGCTCTATCTCCTTTGATCCCCTGTGTGGATACATTGTCTTTCCTGAATACCATCCTAACCTAAAGAACATGGCACCTAATGCCATCCTAACTAACACCATCCTAATCTAAAGAACATGGCACCTAATACCGTCCTAACTAACACCATCCTAATCTAAAGAACATGGCACCTAATACCATCCTAACCTAAAGAACATGGCACCTCAGGAAGGCTCACGTTAGCCCAGAAGAGCTGTTACCTTCCTTGGAGCCTGGTGCCCTCTTCCAGGTTTGGGAAGCGATACTTTACGTATCTGAAAGCATTTGTCCCCTGTTTTCTTGGATGTTTGATCTGGAGGCTTTCTCTCCTCGTGATCTGAGTTAGAACAACGTTAAGCTTCCCACTCAAGTCCTAGCACTGTGGCTGAGCTGGACACGGGCACGCTCCTCTCTGAGGTGTGTTCTCCAGATTACAGATGACTGCTTGTCGTGGCAGAGACCTGCATTCCTCTGCATCTGAAATGAAACATACTGTTGTCAAAAATTACTGCTGAAATCAGTTCTTTCCCTCTGTGAGGGAAATTTGCTTTTTCGCTCTAGGTTCATTTGTCAAGGCAACAGCTAAAGCTCTGATTGATGACATGTTCCCTAGGAAAGCAATCTTGTAAAATTAGAAATAGTTTCCCTTTGTGCCAGAAATCACTATGGCGGGGGATGTTCCCTGTGCAGTTAGCGTGAACATGCTTTGGCAGAATTACTGTCTGTACCAGCACGCAAGTGAAACAAAACTTTTGTCCAATAAAAGTTTCTGAGGATAAGAAACTAACTAATGAAGTAGAAAAAAGAAATCGGGGGATTGGATGATTGTTTGAATTTTCTGAGCTTATTTGAAACTAATCCCCTAATTAACTGTGTAAAGATTGTCAAAATATAATAATAATAAAAAAGAAACTAATCGAGAATGTGTATATTGTCTTTAGGAAGTGAACAAACCGCTTAAGCCCTGAGACTATTTTTTTTTTAGATTTATTTTCTTTTTATTGCAAAGTCAGATATGCAGAGAGGAGGAAAGACAGAGGAAGATCTTCTATCTGCTGATTCACTCCCCAAGTAGCTGCAACAGCAGGAGTTGAGCCTATCTGAAGCCAGGAACCAGGAGCCTCTTCCAGGTCTCCCATGCAGATGCGGGGTCTCAAGCTTTTGGACTGCACTCGACTGATTTTCCAGGCCACGAGCAGAGAGCTAGATCCCAGGGAAGTGGGACCTCTGGGATTAGAATGGGCACCCATATGGGCTCCCAGCCCATGCAAGGCAAGGACTTTAACCACTAGGCTACCACACCGGGCCCAGCCCTGTGACTCTTACAGTCCAATTACATCTCCCTTCTCTTCGGAATGTTTGTCTATGCGGCAGTGCTCAGGACTGTCCCAGGATCAATGGCCTCAGGAAGTATGGAGGCGCCACCCTGGAGGGCAGAAGCAGCGTCTTAGATGCTCAAGTCAGAAACCCAGCAGCCTTCTGTCATGCCTCCAAGGATTACTTCTGCATCTTTTGTGACCCTGGAATACCTCCATTTCCTCCCATCCTCAGTGGTACCACACTAATCCAGTCAATCACCCTTTCTTAGACCATGTGAAGAACCCCCTGCCTCTCGTCTCCCCTCTCCATCTGATCTGGTCTCCTTTCCAGCAGGATTTTATAAAGACCCACCTTAGTTTCCCCAACCATTGCCTATCATCTCACATTTAGATCAGGTCCCTTGATGCAGTTTCCAAGCTCTGACAGGCAGTTTGCCTGTTTGCCTCCACTGCTTCATCCAGCACCTCTTCTCCAATCCTACCCTCTAGTCTTTTAGCTCAGCATTCATTCCATGCGGTTTCCTATCTGAGCCTTTAACCATAGCTTTCCCTTGGTAGAGAATATTACTTTGTTCCCCAGCTCTCAAATTCATGCATCTTACTCTTAGTGACCCTACTGGTCTAAACCTAGGTCTTCCCACAAATCCACCCTCCTATGTTGGTGGTGCTGAGTCTGACAGCTCTTACTGTTAGCATTGTAATTAGTTATCACCCTGTTTTCCCATCTGGACTGCCCTGCTTATGATCACATCCGGTTTTTGCTGGATCATGAAAGGCAGTTGTCATATCTCTTCCCAACTCCATGTTCAGTGACATTGTTATACCAACATTGACATTGGCCATGGGAGGAATGCTTTACCATGAAAATTACAAGTACTACAAATCAATTCATTTTCAATTTTTACCTTTTATAGAAAGACTAAATCCCTAACCCTTATCATGATGTTTGGAAAATGGGAGAGGTTCAGTGAATGTTCATTGGCTGAATTAATATAGGACAGGCTTCCATTTGACCCCTAGATGGGGCCCAGTTACCCAGACCTTTGCCCCATATGTTCCAGTATGTCAGCAGCTCAAGTACCTCTCCCCACTTCAGAGTAGGGATTCAGTTTGTGCAACGTGACCACCTTGCTTACGGAAGTATCTGGGACTTGCCACAGGGAACACCCCAATGTCTCTGTAGCAGAGGTAGCAAGACCTTGAAGATGGTATTTTCCTGTGTTGGACATCACATTTTCCAGCAGAGCACAGGAGAGAAGTACAGGCAAGCCATCAGCCTTTGCTGAATTCAGATTGTGACCTTTCCAGGGCCAGCATTGTAGTGCATGAGGTTAAGCCTCAGCTGTGACTCTGGCATCCCATGTGAATACTGGTTTGAGTTCTGGCTGTTGCATTTCAACCAAGCTCCCTGCTAATGCACCTAGGTAAGCAGCAGGTAAAGGGACAAGTATGTAGGCCCTTTCATCTTCCTTGTCTCAGTGAATGGTGGCTTCTGTTTTCAGCAAAGCCTGTTATCCCACATCACAAATATATCCAGAGACCTACCATGCTTCACCTCCCGCTCTGCGGCTAGGCATCTGACTCTTTTCCAGCCAACTCCTCATTGTCCACTGGCTGCCATTCTTACCTCCTTGCACCTGCTTCAGCCCAGCCTCAAGACAAAAATTAGTGGAGATTTTGTTAAAATACTATCATGTGGGGTCTGGCATGATGGGTCAGTGGCTAAATTCTTGCCTTGCATGCACTGGGATCCCATATGGGCACTGAATTATGTCCCAGCTGCTCCATCTCTCATCCAGCTCCCTTCTAGCTTGTGGCCTAAGAAAGCAGTAGAGGATGGCCCAAGGCCTTAGAACCCTACACCCATGTGAGAAACCCAGAAGAAGCCTCTGGCTCCTGGCTCCTGGCTTTAGATCAATATAGCTCTGGCCACTGTAGCCACTTGGGGAGTGAACCAACGGACAGATCTTTCTTTATCCCCTTCTCCCTGTAAATCTACCTTTCCTATAAAAATAAATAGATAGTTTTTTAAATCATCATCTGAATCATATCACTTCTCGGACCAATCATTCAGCAGCCTTCATTTTACTCTAAGTCTTGACATGGTATATTAGGACTAACATGCTGTCCCTCCAACCCCATCTCCCACCACTACCTTTCTTAATTCTAGTCCTACCATGTGCCCTTAGAACATGCCAGGGCCTTTTCCTGTCCTAGAAAGTTCACACTGGAATATCCCCATGGCCAGCTCTTTCCTCAATACAGGCATTTTGCTAAGAGTCACTTTCTACAAAGAAATTCCTCCATTGACATTCCCTGCTGCACTGTGTCTGCATCCACCCCAGTATTTACTGTGTTGTACCGACTGGCTCTGGTTGCTCCTGTATTCAAGCATCATCTCCTAGTATGCAAAATTTCTTTTGTGTCCCCAGCTCTGGAGCAGTGCCTGCCACTTGGTACTTTTGGAATGTTCTTTTGGATATTTGCATGATCTCCCCCAGGAGTTCAGCTGAATCAGAAAAGCTGGGCCTCTAGAAGAATAAGTGTAGAGGACTTATTCACTAAGCCTTTACTATATAGCAGGAACAGTAGTAAGTCTGAAACGGTTGCAGAGAGGTTAGGAAATAGGCTTACAATCTCACAGTGGAAGATGGTTGAACACTCACATGGTCTCTATAACACTGCTTCCTATGAGCTGGTTTTGCCTTGGGCCTTGCAGGCTGGGGTGAGGGGCCACAGATCAGCCTTGATAGCTTCATCTTCCTAGTACAGGGTTGATATGGAAAGCAAACATTTGTTCTGCTCTGTTTGTTTCTCTCAAATCTGTGAATGCAGTTGGTTTTGTGATATATGGGAAACTGAGAATTTTGTCAATAGTGAATATTTTCTTTACTTATTTGATGCTAGAAAACTTAAAGAGCTGGGTCTCTCCCAGCCCAGCCCACTCCCATATATATAACATTTTACGGTCTGAATTTGACCCTCATTTACTTTTGATCTTTGTGTGTATTTCTCGTTTATGTTTTCTTATAGTCTGTATGATTCTGGTAAGTTCCTTTGATCCCTTTGGGGAATCAGGCAGGTGTGTGACTTTTATGCCTTGGGTGGCTGATTCTTCTGATCCTCATTTAGGAAGTAGAAGCCCGGTTGGAGGAAGTGAAGAAGAAATCAGAACAGGACATACAGCAGCTGGAAGAAGAGAAAGCAACCCTCAGCGTGAAGCTCCAGAGCTGCCTGCTTGAGGTCAGCCCAGAATCACTGCCACAGCCATGCTTGCGAGTGGGGGTGGGGATGGTTCTGGCCCCTGGGTGATTCTGCCTGGCTGAGGTGCCAAGAAGCCCAGGAGATGCTCAGCCCCTTACATCCCAGGGAGAAGGAAAAGGGCATTCAGCCAGGCAGGAAGGCTCTGTCATGGCACACAACACTGAGCAGCCGGTAACAGAGAGCCGGGTTTATAGAGTCTTAAACAAAGAGGCCTTTAGTGTATAACCTAGAAGGACACGAGAGGCTGCTGCTATTGTCTCTGCTGCCAAAAGACTGTAGGAGCGGGGAGTCTTTCCTGACCCCTCACTGCATGGAAATCTTTCCTGACCCCTTGCTATCAGTTTTGGAGCCTAAAGTACTTTCACCTTCCTGGGCCTCTGTTTTATTAAAAAAAAAACTATTCTTAAAAATGAAATGATAAATATTTTCATTCAAAAAACAAGCCATCCCTTACAGTTGTTATAACAGGTCTAGGGTGGGGGTGGCATTTGATGAAAATCTCAGCTAAGATGGAACAGCACAGCCAAGATGCCCATCCCTGCCCCTCCTCCCTCCCTAGTGACCCCTGCTGCTGGCCTCCAGCCTTCCTATTGGACCTGGACCACTCTGCTATGTAACACTTTAGGGTAGCTAGTGTATTTGCATGACATCAGCCCAGTAATCCTGCTGGTGGGAGATGTGCAGGTCACCTCCTGGAAATGAGTTTCTGTAACTGCTCTTTATGAACCCCTCTTCAAAATCGCAGTGGCTACCCTTGATGAACACCCTTTCTGGGCAAGATACTGTGTAAGCAGCTTACATGGACTGATTCTTATAACCCTCATAAGCACCTTATAACATTAATGTTCTTATTATCTCCAATTTAGAAATCAGAAAACTGAGCCACAGAGAAGGTGTGTAATACCTCTCAGAGCTGCACAGCTAACAAGTGACTATCCTGGGATTTAAACCCAGATAATATGGTTCCAAAGGCCCCACTCTTAACTGCTAAGTTGACAGTATCTAGCACAATATGTTACTTCACCAACAACTAAGAGCCATTCAAAACCTGATTGTCTACATTAGCCAGAAGCTGACCATGGACAAAGCACCGTAGTCTCACTCTATCCTTGATTCCTCCTACCATCTTAATGGCACTGCTATCCATCACCCCATTTACTGGAAGTGGAAGAATCTTCTTTGACCACATGCTTCATTCTCAACTGCCTGTCTTCACCCAGCACCTACTCTGCCCCATCACCCCGTCCACTCACTTATCAAGTCCTGTGGGTCCTATAGCTCCAACACTACTGTCCCCTCCCCTCTCTCCTTCCCAGTACCTAGATAGGACCCTCAGAATAGTTCATCTGGACTTTTTTTTCCTGCTTATAAATGTTACATAAACAATTACATGTGACTCCTTTGAATATGTCATAAGCCTGAGAGGATGTGGTGCAGAAAGAGTTTCATAACCTTCAAATATTGCTTCTCCAAATACTCTTTGTGTAAAGCTGTGAGAACATTCTGGCAGCTTTGTCATTCCTCTGTGAGGTTGCCTGGAGTCTTGCAAGCGTTGTCATGAATCCCCGCCTCTGCCTTCTCCCCTAAGCAGCTAATTCTAGAACTCATATTCTAAAACTCCATGTTTATGTTCTCAAGGCCCCGTTCTTCCTTTCCCAGAATCTTGAATTTGAATGTTTTTCATAATTTGTGTCCAATCTGATTCACTGCCCCACCGCTCCGCCCAGGATTGCCTGGTTCATTTACGCCATGCTGTCCCCTGCCTCGATGGGACCATTCTTCAGACTTCATGTCCTTCAAACCAACATTCTATTTCACTTTCTGGTCTTGCTGCCTGAGAAGCGTGTTCCTATCCTTTCTACCTGCAGACTCCTGTTCATCCGTCATGCCCTTGACTTTGTCTGGACCCAGGGCAGAGTCTGTAAATTCTGTGCAGCAGTATCCACCTCATGGTAGTTGTCAGGATAGAAAGAGTTAATGCTGTGAAATCCTTCTATCTGTGACCGGCAGAGTACATTCACCCTCTATGGAGCCACTGCTACCTTGTCTGCATCCTCACTGAATGTGTCTGTCCCTCCTGCCGTGAAATGACAGCTCCATGTTTCATTATCTTTTTGTAAAAGATTTTTTGATTATCTTGCTATCTTGCGTTCACTCTGTCTCTTCCCCTTCGCTCATTATACTTGACACAGAATCTGGCAAGTATTCAGTAGTTTTCTTCAAAGACCTGCTAGCAAATTTTGAGCTTCCTGTATGGATATTGGCATCATTTTTCTCAAAGAAAAAAAATCTCATAATAACCAGTTGGTTAATAATGCTCATCGTAACTAAGACTCCAGATACTCTTACCTCGACTTATCCGTATGATTCTTCACTACTGCTCGTTTTCTTCATCAACTGACTTTTTTCCCCCAAAGAAAGTGAAAGGCTTTCTGGGAATGGCATCCAAGTGACTCTACAGATACAGAATCGATACACGATGTCAACAATTAGAAGGAAAACATGGAGTACAATAAACCTGTCAGGCTCTTCATATTCTACAAGGACTATGCAAGCAGCTAATTCATAATGGCCATTGCACAAGCCTGTTTGGAATGTGTCCAATGGGACCCGCTACCCAGATTGGCCCGGGAGAGTTGTTGGCCAGATTAGCCACTGTATCCAGGAGGTAGGACTTCATTTCACTGCCTTCTGTTTTCTCTCTTCTATTTTAGGTCTTAAGGCTGGAAGAATTTATCCAACAAAATAAAGTCTGTTCCCAAAGAGCTGAGGAAAAGTCCCAGGAATTAGACTGCCAATGCCATAGCATTTTGGAGACCCAGGTAATCCCCAGCTTTTTCTGCTGTAATTAAAGACCTCTCCCCTCTCCATTTCAGCATCTGGTGTCCCCATTGACATGTGCTGATGTTAACTGGCTTCTTTATGTCCCCGTTCAGCACTTCCAAAAAGCCTGGGAAGGAGGAATCAACACACACACACACACACCCCACCAGAAATCACGAAGGAAGCAGAGTTCTGAGTGACTCTCCTTGTGGTTTGAAAAGAATGTGGCTGGTCACCTTAATCATTGGTCCCTCCCTGTGAGCAGCCAGCTTGGCTGATAAAGGTAGCCTTGCTGTTCTGATTATGTCCAACAAGAGCTGAGCTGTCATAATCATGACCTCCAGCCATGTCCCTCTAGCTGTGTGATCCTGTTTATTCTCCTGATAGCCCTTCTTGTCTCTTCCAGGAGTACTTCCCCAGGGTGGAGACTGGCTCCTGTCTGGGTCTCTGATGGGCTTCTGAACATAATGTCTTTCCACAACCTTGCACTGGGTAGCTTAAACAACATAAATTTATTCACTCGTGATCCTGGTATTCAAGTCATGGTAGGCTGATAGAGGTAGGGTGAACCTGCTGCTGCCTGCCTCTCCCTCAGCTGTTGGTGCTACTGTGTGTCTTCAGCATCCCTTGGCTTTTGGACACATCACTTGATACTTTCCCCTGCAATCACAGGGCCTCTTTCCTTGTGAACTTGTGTCTCTGTGTGTCTTCATGGGGCCTTTTTATAAGAAAATCTGTCATTCTAATATGACTTCATTGTAACTAATCACATCTGCAAAAACCCTCTTCCCAAATAGTCACGTTCATGATTACCGAAGCATTAGGACTTCAACATATTTTCTTGGTGGAATAGGTACTTCATTGAAATTCCTTGCATGATGCCAGAAGTATAAATAATTTCCATGAAGCTGGTATTTGAGTTCCCTGGCTAGAAGAGCCCTTGTGAGTTCTCATCTTCGTTTTTGACCTTGGTAGCTGTCAAAAACCCAGTGGGCTTTTACTTTTTTATTGCTGCTCTAAGTGTTCTATCCACTTTAGACTCCAGATAGGAAAACACTGGATAGCTGAGTCTGACTCTCACATCAGCCTCATTTCCATTTATTGATTTTTTTCTGCTGTACCTGAGCATCCTCAGGAAAGGCAGCTTCCCTCTGTTGACCCCAGTCCTCCAGGTCTTTGATCCTGTTAGCTATCCTTGCATCAGACCTCACTGGAATGACCCACATATTCATCATGGTGGAAAATTAGCCAAAATGGTGAAGAATATGAATTCGGATAATAATGAACATCTATCTAATAACAATCCTGTCTTTCACTTCATTGGCGTTTTTATGGCAATGCTGGAATATGTCTCTTTTGTAGAGGAGGAAACTGAAGATCAAATCAGTTAGGTGACTTGTCTGCCGTTATAGGTAGGTAGACAGCCAAGCCAGGATGGGACCAGCAGTGCTGTAGCTCTCATCCCCTACTTTTGCTCTAAGAACGTCCCACACCCTGGATGCCTTCCACGTAAAATAGGCTGCAAGCATCCTGAGGTCGAGGAGAGTGACCAGGACTCTTGGGATTTCCCCTTTTGATGTCTGCCTTGCCCCTGCACAGCATGGGGAAACCTAAATTAGAAGAGGCACCTTCATCAGCCCAGCTGGCACCTCTCTGGTCAGAGACAGTCCCCATCCTTTCTAAAGACTTTTGAGAAGTCTGCAGGTACTTCTGTTTGCCCTCCATGTCCCCAGGGGCAGCCTTATGAAGCAGGTCTCAGGGGAACTCCTGTCTCCAAAAGCAGCTGAGGGTTTCATGGCCCTGGGAGGTTTCCTTGAAAGGTTGTTCCCCACATGTCCTATCATTTCTCAGTTTCCCAAAGTGAGTGTGACAGGAAACAAAGTTGGCTAGGGTTCTCACTGGTGAGATCCAGCTTAACATAAGGTGTTGGGAACAAAATGAAAATGTTCAGAAAGATTGTCCAGTGGGCTGTATTTTTCAGGAATGGGCTGTCTGTGTCAGGATTGATGAACAAGAGTCTGATGAAGGACGGTGCCCCAAAGATGTATTCGCTTGGGTGGGGGCCATGAAATTTAAGTTTGTTTAAAACACTAGAGTTTCCATTTAAGCACACAATTGTTCTGCCAAAGCACATCTGTGAGTGGAGCTGGATAAAAACAAACATGCCAGTCGAGGGCAGACTTTTTGCTCCACTCCCAGAGCAAGCAGAGGAAAGGTTGCCAAGCCTGGGTGTGGCTGTGTCCTCACCAAACTTAGCTGGGACCTCACTGAACCTTTTATCCTGGATGCTTATGCCCAGTCTTGATTCTAACAGATTCTTAGTTTCATTCATTGGCTTGAAAAAAAAAAAAAACAAGCTGCTCCAGTCTTGGTAATTTTGAAGGAAAGTTTCTTTTCTCTTTTTTCTGTAAGATTTCTTTAGTGCCTTGCCCACACTGAACTGGGGGCAAATATAGATGTTTTCATAGATGCTCCTCCTGCCTACGCCTCCTCTGGAAAGAAAAGGAGGATCTTTGTGGTGACCACTATTCCAATGACTTTTGTCTGCAAAGTGCGTACTGTCCTTGCGTAGCCTTGTGGCTGGGTGCCCCTATGAATGAAGTTCATTTTTGATCCTCAAAGGGATAAAATGGGAGCAACAAATACTTGCTTAAATAATGTCCTGGTGTAATGAGAGCTGTAATAATAGCAGCAAGGTTCCTGGCAGCCCACATGGCAAAGGGAGTTTTCTGCCTGAGATAGTCTGGGAAGCCTTCTGGTGGAATGACATGAACCTGATCCTGACATTTGAAATTGATTTCACCAGGAAAAGGCATATAGGGGCAGAGAGTGGTGCAAAGCCGAAATCCTGAGGCCGATGGAGAGGGACATGGGGCGCTCTAGGTCTGCTCCCTCAAGGCCCTGGGAGGTTTGCTGGGCAGCCGACACCCTCTGTGTCCCTAGAGAGCCATATGACTCTAAATCAACCATCCAGGCAGTCGGCCAGCCAATAATCATGAAGGTTTCAATCAAGGTGGCGTTAGAAGCTCACACTCATGCTCTGGTGTAAGCAGACTGCTCAATACTCTGCGGTGAGATTCCAACAGCAATGCCCTAAGCTTCTCTGGACCCTGGGAAGACAGAATAGGGCAGGACAGCAGTTCCTGTCTGAGGGTTAGGACAGGGATTCTGCCCCAATTCTACCTTAAATCTACCCGGAGACCTCAGGCATGTCCAGAAAAGCCCAGAAGTCAAGTTTCTCATTACTCATAATTTCAAAAACACAGCTAAGGCCCCGATTGTGTAACAAGTGTATAGTGAATACAAGTCCCTGGGGGCAAACTTGTTTAACAAATAAGGGAAACTGAGGCCCAAAGAGTAGCCTGGGGTGTATGCTCGAAGTCATGATGCAGTATGCTACTTCCCATCAACAAATGACAGTAACAATGCCTGCCCTCCCTACTGCAGAAATGTGGCGACAAAGAGAGGAAAGCATAAGATGGCATTTTGCAGAGCTATTAAAGACTCTGCAAATGGAAGGTGAGTTTATTGGATCTGTTACAGTCCTTGTACTCATTTCAGTGAAACCCCAGTACATTAGGTGTTCTATTTTGAAGATATACATAATTAATGCCACCTTTGAGAGATTGTCCACTTAACCCGAGAATGACTTTGAACATTCCCTCCCAGGAGATTTCCTGAGTGTGGGTGTTTCCTCAAGACAGAAATAATTCAGAAGCGGTTAAGTGACTGGAAGATGAAAGGTGATGACCTTATGTGAGCATAGGTTTAAAATAGCCAGGCATGCTTGGGAGGAGTTGAGAGGAGGCTTTTGTGGTCAATGGGTTGGTGGAGGACTAGAACTATTTATTTTTTCTGTGCATACTATTTATACCCAGGCCTCCTGAGCTCTGGAGAGCGTACTCAGCTGAGCCTGCACAAAATACCTGATGGGGACCGCAGAGGGTCAATTGGGGTAGATAACTCAGGATACACTGTGAGAGGCTCAGGGTTTTTTCTTACTTTTCTCAAGGAAAATAATCAAAGAAAGAGGGCAGTGCTGCTGCTGTGGCCACCACCTGCAGTACCAGTATCCTGTATGGACCCTGATTCAAGTCCTGGCTGCTCTGCTTCCCACCCAGCTCCCTGCTAACCCACCTAGGCAAGCAGCACAAGGGGGCCCAAATACTTGGGTCCCTGCACCCAAGACCTGGAAGAAACTACAGGCTTCTGACTTTGACCTGGCACAACTCCTGGTCATTCCAACCATTTGGAGAGTAAATCAACATATGGAATATCTCTGTTTCTCCTTCTCTCTGTTTGTAGCCTGCCTTTCAAATAAATAAATAAAATATTTCAAATAAATAAACACTCTTTTGGGATGAAAAAGGGACAGGCAGCTGAAAGAGTCTGTTTAGAGTCCACAGAAGCAGACAATTGAGCACAAGACTCTTGAGCTTGAAGGCTCATTCAGCCAACCATCATTGATGCTTATGGTCGTTTATCTGTGATATATTCAAGTAGCACCCCACCACCTTTTGAAGTATTTATCTTGGCCTGAAACGATAAGTGTGTATGGTCAGGAAAAGAGAGGAAAGTAATTAAGTTTTTCCCCCGTTTAGGTGATCTATTAGTTGGCAGACCATGAGTTTTTCCACACTGCCAAACCCTGGATTTGTTGAAGTCAGCAACTCTTATCTCATCACTCTTCATCCTTTCAGTACCTAAAATGTCTGTGTGTACCAGATGTTTAACATTTATCCCAGATGAAGAAGCATTGAAGTTTTCAGTGCTTCTTCATCTGTCACTACACATTTTTTCCATATTTTTTTAATTGGAAGTAAATATTATAGGGAAAAGGAGAAACAGATATTCCACCCCCTGGTTCACTGTTCAGGAGACTGCAATGGCCTGAGCTGATCCAAAGCCAGGAGCATCTTCTAGGTCTCCCACATGGGTGCTGGGTTCCAAGGCTTTGCACCATCCTCTATTTCTTTCCCAGACCACAAGCAGGGAGCTGGAAGGGAAGTGAAGCAGCCAGGATACAAGCTGGCACATCCCAGGTGAGGACTTTAGCCACTAGTCTACCACACTGGGCCCATTTCCATATCTTTCAGAAAAATTATTTTCACGTTATTTGAAAGACATTGTAACAGATAGAAACACAGATCTTCTTTGTTGGCTCACTCCTAAATGCCTACCGCATCCAAGGCTGGGCCTGGCAGAAGCTAACTCCTGGAGCTCACTCATCTGGGTCTCCCATTTGGGTGACAAAGCCCAAGTACTTGAGCCATTCATCTGTTTGCTGGATTGTGCATTAACAAGAATGCTTGAGTGCATGCACAGCTGGAGTCCCATCCCACAAATTACATCTGCTCATGCGTGTGTCTTTTTTAAAATGATGTATTTAATACTTGCTTGAAAGGCAGATTTTATAGAAAGAAAAAGATAGAAAAAGAAGGCATACCATCTTCTGATTCATTCCTCACACCGCCACAAGGCCAATGCTGAGCCAATCTGAAGGTGAAAGCCAGGAGCTTCTGGGTCTTGCACATGGTTGCAGGGGCACAAGGATTTGGGCCATCTCCTACAACTTTTCCAGGCCATAGCAGGGAGCTGGATCAGAAGTGGAGCAGGTAGGACTTGAACCAGCACCCTTCTGGGGAGCTGGCACCATGTGGTAGAGGATTAGCCTACAGCACCACCATGCTAAGCCCCATATGTGTATCTTTTTAAAAAATTTTTTCCCTACCACCATTACAGTAAAATACTCTATCCAGTCTCCAAGACTGCCCTTTCATGGGAAAATCCCTCATCAACAAGCCGCGTCTGATTCCAAGGCCTCTGCCCATTCTTCCGCTCACAGAAAGAAGCAAGCAGCTGTAGTTTTGTGTGGCCCTGTGCAGAGCCAAGGGGGAGGTGCGAGCCCAGGCTCCCACTCCACTCTTCTGCAGGCAGCTAAACTCTGATAAAACTGTCAGAGCTTCACCACTGGCCAGTATCCTGAGGATCCCACTCTGAAAAGTTGAGCTACTGACATGGAAAGCTCCCTGTTCATATGATGCTTCTTCAGGGGGCAGAAGCAGTTAGTATCTCCAGTAAGACCCCCACATTTCCCAACAGCCTTTGGTGAGTCTGGTTTCAAATTCTCCTGAGGTGCAGGAGTCTTACTGGTTTGTGATCTCTCAACTGGGGATCTGTATATGACTTGTTTCTGAATCAGTGTGCCCATAGGAGCATGGTATATCCCGGGCATCCTTCCACCATGTCACTCCTAGGAGTTGATTTTAAGTACGTGTTTTGTAGGACCTCTCAGCAGAATGTTCACTCAACACTAATTGAATTCACATCCCATTAGTGATATCTGAAGCTGGTGATCTTGTCCCTAGAGGGCATAGTTGAGTGTCAGTACAGTGAGATGGAATGGAACAAATGGGAGTTAAACAATACAGGCCTCTGTTCCCTGTGCCACCCACTATTGGGACTGTGTCCTGCAACAAATTATTGGATTGCTCCAATCTTAGAGTTGTGACTGAACATCAAGCATGAAAGTGCCTTTCTGACCGCTTCCTAGCATCACTGGCAACCGTGAGTTCTAACCTGTGGAAACAGACAGATGTGTGGCTGAGAGCCAGTGTTGTTACACAGGCATGCCAAACCTGGGAACACCTTCAGTCCCCTTTCACACCTAGTTCCCTGGCTAGGATTCCTTCATGTGCAGTAGTGGCCAATTAAGTGGCCCAGAGATTACAACCAGAAAATTCACTTCCACAGTCTTCATAGTGACTCGGGGTACATTTGGGATGTTTGTTGTTTACTCTGTCAAAACTTTCATTAGAGCTTCATCCATTGTTCCATTTGCTTTAAGTTCCTTCTCTTTTCATTTACCAGGCTTGCCAGAAATTTGATATGTCGTCTCAAAAATCCAGCTTTCAGATGCATTAGATTGACTTTTTCTTTTTGTTTATTTTATATATTTTTTGTTCTACTAGCTTTGGGTTTATTCTGTTATTTTTCTTTTTGTAATATCTATTTATTTATTTATTTATTTATTTATTTATTTATTTATTTATTTGAAAGGCAGAATTTAGAGAGAGAGAGAGAGAGCAAGAGCGAAAGAGAGAAAGATCTTCCATCTACTGGTCCACTCCCAGATGGCTACAGTGACCAAAGCTGGGCAATCCAAAGCCAGGAACGTCTCCCGGGTCTCCCACATGGGTGCAGAGACTCAAGGACTTGGGACGTCCTCTGCTGCTCTCCCAGGCACGTTAGCTGGGTCCCCACAGCAGATTATTAGGGTTCTTTTCCTCTGCTATGGATTTTGGATAAGCCACAGGTTGAACTTGAAAACTGTACTTAGTCTCTTCTTACAATTATTTTTGCCTTAGGATCTGTGCTTGCAACTGAAGGAACCTTCCAAGATGCCACCCAGAGGAGAGGGTCAGGACCAGCTGGCCACCAAAGAGGGAAGCAGCAGCGACGACGAGGAAAGGTACAGGAGGGGGTAATGACCTTCCAGCATTCCAGTGAACAAGGACTCAGTTATGGAAGGATCCATGCATTCCTTGTGCCCTCAGGTACCTTCAACTTAGTACAGGTACAACTCTTTTAAAAATGTTTGTGATGCACAGTTGTTTGAATCCAAGGATGCAGAGCCTGTTTATATGTAAGACCAACCTCATCTGACTGCATTAGCCCAAAGGTCGGGGGTGAGGTGAACTTAATAGGATTATGAGGTTGTAAGTGACTTATATCTCAGGGGAAGAGATATAATATTAACTCTAAACAGATTGTAGTAGGTTAAACATGCAAACTGGAAGAGCTACAAATACAATAAAGGGAATAGGAAGGCATAATACTAAAAACGGTTTAGCTCAGGCAGGATATTGAAACGGAAAGAGGATCAATGTGATTTACAATGCAGTATATCTAAATACTAGATATGACCATTCTGCCTATCTATTTTTTAAGGGGAAAAAAAAGAAACACTAAAAATCAAAAAAGCAAGCCACCGATAGAACATATTTTATCACTATCCAGAACTCATTTTTTAAAACTCTTATAAATCAATCATTTAAAAACTGAATTTAAAGATGAAGAAAATACTTGAACAGACACTATTGAAAAAATGTGAGTGGCCGAGAAGTACACGAACCTGTGATTATCATCAGTGGTCATCAGGGAAATGCAACACTGAGATGCTGGACCACCGCCCTGAAGTGAGTCACCGTGTGAAGACTGGTAGCACTAGCTGGTCACATCAGTGTGGAGCAACTACAGCTCTCCTGTGGTACCGGCAGGGGTATATAGTGTACAGCCACCTTGGAAATATATTGATGTTCTCTTGGAAAATTTAGCACAAACCTACCAAAATCACCACTCCTAGATATTTAAGAAAAAAAAAAGAAAAACAGAGAAGGAAAGAAAGACAAATAAAGACAGACAAACAGAAAGAAAGAAAGAAAGAAAGAAAGAAAGAAAGAAAGAAAGAAAGAAAGAAAGAAAGAAAGAAAGAAAGAAAGAAAAGAAAGAAAGAAAAGAAAGGAAAAGTAAGAATAGAAAAGGAAAACGCATAGAGCCACAGAGACACTGACAGGAGAATATTTATATTTATTTCCAGCATATTTATTCTTAAGAACCCAGAAGTATATAAACAAAATATAGAAAATGGTTGAACAAAGTATGATTTATTCACGCAATGGAATACTGCTGCTTAGCAACAGAAAGTGTGAACTAAAGACATGCACAATAATATGGTTGGCTCAGAAAGACATGGTCAGTGGGTGTTGCAGTCCAGCCTGGTAATACCCAGCACATACTCGGCCCTCGCATAAACAAGTGGGAGCTGCAGCCTAGCTGGAGCGACCCACAATAACCCCTACCAGGCCCGCCCCCTACCCTAGTTAGCCAATATGTGTAGCAGTAGTCCAGTCTGTCCCACACCCCATTCCACCCTAGCCCCTGTACTAGTTTTCGTGCCCTCCGGTGGAAGTGGTAACCCAAGAGGGAGGAGCCCACTAGTTCCCTGCCAGGACTCTCCCACTCCCAGATTATGCTCTCTCCACATAGTTCTGTGGTTTGACTTGACAGAACTAGGTCCCAGTGCCAGCTTCTGCCAGCTGATGCTGTGGCTAAGCCCAAACAACCCTCACCCACTCTAATTTTGTTTGCACCAGAGTGGAAGTTGGGGCTGAAAACAGAACCAACCCAGCAATTGCAACCACCAGCTGATCAGGGCGATGGACTGTGCCAGGCCCTGTACTTGCTAGTACATACAAGAATCTGGTCTGAGAACACCTCAGACAAAGTTTCTTTGGGGTTCTCCCCAATCGAAATGCTGGACTCAGAACCCTAAGACAGAACAGGTCAATCAACCATTTCAGCTATATGTTGGCAACGAAATACGGGGCAGAGACTCTATGATGGACTATGTCAATCAGTGGATTCTTCAAAGACCTCATAGTGCTTGGAGTGGCAAGATTGGCAGCGATTCATAACTGGTGAACTATCAAAACCACTTGAGCAAGAATCTCAGAGCATACCCTACATGCGGGACCTGGGGAGGGTGAGAAATTGGGTGGGCCTTCTCCCTTAATACCCCCCTTTAAACATGAAGGAAACAATATGGAAACAATAGTCTTACCCACTTTCCTATAGCCCTTGAACCTTTTTACCCTAATTAACTATGTAAAGATTGTCAAAACTATAATAAAAAAAATTCTTAAACAAAGAAAGACATGGCAAGAAATAAAGGATTACCATCTTCACCCATTTTCTGTGGCCATAATGAAATGCCACAGACCGGGTAAAAGTGTGTTTAGCTCTTTTCTCTGGCCAAGAGTTCAGTGCCAGAATCCCAGGAGGCCTTCCCACCGTGTCCTAAGAGTGGAGGGCAGCACCTGGTGAGACAGCAAGCCTGCCACAGAGAACTCGCTTTCCAAGCAAAGCCACTGCCTGGGGAGCCTCATTAATTAGTCACTTATCAAACATACGATGTTGGGGATTAATCTGCCAACACCTGAATTTGGTAGACAACACTCAAATCACAAGTATCTATCTCTTGATGCTTATGACCAGGCAAATGTAACGGTGATGACAATCAAAGCACTGGCTGCCTGTAGATGGATGAATTGACAGGAGAAAAGCATCATCTGGGATAATGAAATGTTGTATATTTGACATGTTGGTATTCTGGTTGTGTGTACTTATAAAAGTGTCCTAATGCACTGAATTTTGCACCTAAGATCCTTGCATTTCATTGTATGTAAATTTTATGTCAGTAAAACTCTTTAAGTAAGCCCTTCTGCTTGGAGGAAATGCAGCTTCCTCCCAAGGCCTCACCAGGAAAGCTGGCCTGTCCCACTCAGCCAGCAGGAGGTGCTGCCTGTCACTCTTCCAGGCTGGCCTCCCTAGCCTCTCTGGCCTTCTGCTAACTCTCAGGCTTTGTTCATATTCATAGTCCAGACACAAGTATCCCCATTTAGCACTCTTCAATAACACCTTCCAAAAGCTAGAAGAACCTAGGAGGATTAAGAATGGCAGGAAAGGGCCCGGCGCGGTGGCGCAAGTGGTTAAAGGTCCTCGCCTCGCACGCCCGGGGTCCCATATGGGCACCGGTTCTATCCCGGCAGCCCCGCTTCCCTTCCAGCTCCCTGCCTGTGCCCCGGGAAAGCAGTCGAGGACGGACCAAAGCTTTGGGACCCTGCACCCGCGTGGGAGACCCGGAAGAGGCTCCTGGCTTCAGATCGGCATAGCATGGACCGTTGCGCTCACTTGGGGAGTGAATCATCGGACGGAAGATCTTCCTCTCTGTCTCTCCTCTTTGTATATCCACCTTTCCAATGAAAAAATAATAAAAATAAATCTTTAAAAAAAAAAAGAATGGCAGGAAAGAAAACTTCTCCTTGTGAAATGCTTAGTTAACTCAACGTGGTTCTCATTGTGTCTCAGACACACTTTTTAGCACTTTAATGATGTTGACTAATAATCCTTGTATCTCCTGTGTAAAAATACTCCTGCCACAGAGAACAAAGCTCAGGCCCAGACCCTGTGAAGATCTGACCCATGTCAGCAGGGTGCTGGAGCAGCAGAGGTGGAATTGAAACCTGTGCAGTCTGGCTGTTGCATCCCTGCTCTTAGTCATGTGGCTGTGCTGCTGCCAGCATTCTTTTCATGTTTTTCTCGTTAACCCCTCAACCTGAGCCCATGCAGCTGGGCCTCCTCACTGCTGTCGTGCAGAGTGCAGTCCAGAAACCTAACCCCATAACTTCTGGTTCTCTAACCTAATGTTCTTGCCAGGGGAAGCAAAATGCCATCATGTCCTTCTGGCACGGTTGACATCAAATCAATTGTATCTTAATATCTCAGCTAGCTCAAAAGTTCAAGTTGGGGAACTGACATTTGTCAATAAATATGTTACCTGGAATGTAGAAATTACTTCAGCTTTAAACCAGTGTTCTGGTTTAAATATGTGTGTGTGTATGTGTGTGTGTGTGTGTGTGTGTATAGAGAGAGACTGAGAGAAAGAGAGAGAGAAAGAGGAGAGAGAGGCCTATTTCTAATCCTCCTGCTTATCCTTACGGCTCCCAGTAAAAATTATGAGCTTGCCCATGTGTGTAAAACACTGTGCTAAAACAATTTTTGTTTCATTCACTTTTGTAGGCAGGATGAGTTATAAAGTTAGTCCTTAAAGATCACTTTTTCAGAGACCTTAACGGTCCTTCCTAAGTTCTCAGTCATTATGACCATTGGTCATAACTTACTAAGCACCCACTAGTTAATCTAGCAGTCAGGCAGACTGCTGACTCCTGTGCAGGAACACTGACAACGTATATGCCAAGTCACTTTTGAAAAGCTGGGAGAAGAATCAAGATGGCGGAATAGGGTAAGGATACGTTTAAACAGACGGAGAAATAGTAGCCAGTGTGAAGCAGAGAGGGCACATTCCGGGAAATAGGAGAGGACAGAACAGCAACAGAGGAGTACCTGGAGACTGACAGACACAGGAAAACAGCAGACACAACAGTGCCCTGTTGCAGTGACTGATACCCCAGCAGCATTCAGCAAACGGGGATCTGAACTCCACCAGCAAACAGGTGGGAAGGGACGTTTACTGGGAGCTCCAGAGGTGAACCCAGACAAAGAACTGCCCGTCCTGCTGGTCTGTTTGATTTGACCAGGAGCAGAGACAAAGCGGCAGGTCCCAGACAGGAGATGTGGAAACAGGGTAGATTTCATAGCCCAGTCCGCCTCCTAGAATTGGATTAAGCACCATTTTGTTTAAGGAGGCAAGGGCTACGGGGCAGGACTGCTCACGCGCTGAGCTGGGAGTGAACTCATTTCTGACTCAGTGAACTGCAGCAATGTGGCATCCTACAGGTTCCACCCAAGACAGGTTGGGTAGCCCTCAGACTTGATGGCCAGCAGATCAAGAACTCTAGTAGTGGTACATCAGGTGCCATTTTGTACAGTGTGAAAGGACTTTGAGACTGTGGGGATAGCACTGAGCTGTGCATGTGCTGAGCTGGGAGCAAAGTCACTAAGCTTAGCGCATTGCACTGGTCCCACAGGAAAATAATACCAACTATGGCATCATATGGGTCAAAATATGTCCATGTAGCCCTCAGACCTACCAGTCTATAACCACCAACAATCTAGCTATATAGGACACCTAGTGTCTTCCTAATCCTGGGACCTGCTCCAACCAGAAGTAGGAGAAAGGTTGTACAGACAATGGTGTAGCCTCAGCACAGTATCATAGGAGGTAGAGACTGGTGAGCCAAGAGCTGGGGCTACGGAGACCATGGTGAAAATCTAACATAAGAACCCAGACCTGGAACTCGCTGGAGGGAGTGGCACAAGTGACTGCAAACAAAGAGCTGTGTACCAATTGCAATAAGTAAAATCGAACTGTAGACCTGTGGGTGACACAGCTTAGAAACCTGCCCCAAGGAGAAGAATCTGCTAACCAGAAGTACAATGAGCAAGAGCAAAAGAAGAGACAAAGGCACAATGAATATTACTGAAGACTCCCCTATAAAGGAACAAAACCCTTTGCCAACTTGAGTTAACTGAGGAAGACATCAAGAAAATGGGAGATACAGAATTCAAAACACTTGTTATAAAGCTTATTGTCAACAATGAGAAGCATGTAAAGCACACATTCAAGAAATTCAAGGAATTTGTCGCACTGGAAATGAATCAAATGAAAGCTGCTATATCCGAAATGAAGAATAGTGTGGAGCAAATTAAAAGTATAGTGGAGAATCTCCAGTATAGAATGAAGGAGGCAGAAGAAAGAATCTCAGAATTAGAAGATACTTCCTGTCACCAGGGGGAAACAAAAGGCTGGAAGCAGAGCTGGATCAGACTTTAAAAAGTATTCAAGAGTTGAAAGAAACTATTAGAAGGCCAAATATAAGAGTTATGGGAATCCTGGGCCCAGTGCCGTGGCCTAGCTGCTAAAGTCCTCGCCTTGAACGCGCCAGGATCCCATATGGATGCCAGTTCTAATCCCAGCAGCTCCACTTCCCATCCAGCTCCCTGCTTGTGGCCTGGGAAAGCAGTCAAGGACAGCCCAAAGCTTTGGGACCCTGCACCCGGTGGGATACCCGGAAGAAGTTCCTGGCTCCTGGCTTAGGATTGGTGCAGCACCACGGACATTGCGCTCACTTGGGGAGTGAATCATCGGACAAAAGATTTTCCTCTCTGTCTTTGCTCCTCTCTGTATATCTGGCTTTGTAATAAAAAATAAATAAATCTTTTTTTAAAAAAAGAGAAGATGCAGAAGGAGAAGCTCGGTTTAAAAATGTATTTAATGAAATAATAAGGAAATATAAGGAAATAATAAGGAATAATAAGGAAAATTTCCTAATTTGGAGAAAGAATTGGGAAACAACATCCAGGAGGGGCACAGAACTCCCAACAGGCTTGATCAAAAGCGATCTTCACCACGACACATGATCATTAGCTCTGTTCAATTGAGCATAAGGAAAAGATCCTTAAATGTGCATGTGAACAAATCAACTGACATATAAAGGAATACAAATTTATCTCACAGGAAACTCTACAGGCCAGAGGAGAAAGGAGTGACATATTCCAGATTCTAAAAGCAAAAAAAATGTGTCAGCCCAGGATAATGTACACAGCAGAACTTTGCTTTGTCTTTAAAAATGAAATAAAATTCTTCAACAATAAAGAAAAGTTGAAAGAATATGCCTCTTTCAAACCTGCCCTACAAATCATATTTAAAGATGTTCTCTTGACAGAGAAAAATAGCACCCACCAAAACCAAAGGCAAATGCAAAGAACATCCCAGTAAAATAACAACAGAAGACTAAATCAATGAACAACCCATTGCTAAAATGACAGGACCAAATTACCACCTATTTGTATTGACCCTGAATGTAAATGGCTTAAACTCATCAATCAAACATCATAGATTAGTAGACATCTTTGTTGTCTATAAGAGACACATTTTACCAACAAAAATCAGCAGAAGCTGTATCTCATGGATTTTGATGTTTTTGTTTTGGTTGGTTTCATCTCTTTAAAACACTTTCTTATTAAATTCTTCAGTGACTCATAGATCATACAGTAGCATCATTTTCTTCAAGCAAGTTCTTGATTTTCTTTTTCATTTTTCCAGTCATTCAGTTACATGTTATTTAATGTTATGGTGTTGTTAATTTCTTTTTTTTTTTCCTTCCTGTTGTTATGTATTGTGGCTTTTCATTTAAGGGGATGTATAGTAACTTTATAATGGAGATTATCATATCAAGTAGCATGTTGTTTAACTTCATGCCATTGTAAATTTCTATTTTTCTTCCTGCTATTGATTTTGTATTGTATTCATTTAAGGGGATGTATAGTAACTATGTAATAGTGACTATCATATCCAGAGATAAGGATGCAATGCAGTATGCATCTCTACTTCCAAAGATGGACTCCCAATGAAACTGTTTAGTATATCTTGACAATAGGATGCTGGACTCTCTGTCATTGTCCATGCCCACAATGATGGATATATGACTGTGTATGAAGAACTATAATATAGCAATGATATACGGGAACTCGGTGAGGGGGGAGGGATTTGGGGAGGGGATAAGGGAAATCCCACAATCTATGGAATTGTATTGTAAAATGACAACAATAAAAAGAAGTAAAAAAAAAAAAATGGTGAACAAGATGGTTCTCCAGGACCTGCAACTGAGCCGGCACTCCCTCCTCCTCCTCCACCTGAGACTTCTGGAGGTATCAGGTTGCTAGTCGTATTCCCCATTCTAGCATCTTTTGTGACTGTGGCCTTTCTATCTTCAAAGGATCAAAGTGTCCCTCAAGGAAGGAAGTGACCTACAACCCTCAGAGGATTCTTTGTGGAAGAAGGAGGCCCCCAAAATCCAGCATCTGCAGGGGGACTGGCAGAGCCAGAAGATAAAATTGCAAGCACAGGTAGAAGGGCAACTCTGGGGGTGGGAGAGCGGGAAGCACCTTCATCCTGAGTGACATCCTGCTTCTCCCTCCCCACCCTCCTCCCACCCCTCCCTACAGACAACCTTGGGAATGCATGCAGGGCCTGATTCCCATCCCAGCTGGGAAGGGAATTGTGGGCGGAGTGCAGTATGGGGTTCTGGGCTTTATTTATTCATTCATGCAAAACCAACTATGCTCCTAAAGACCTCCTGTGAAGCACAGATGATGCAGCAATGTAACGAAAGTCAGAGAAATCTCACCAAATTGTGTATGTCATGAATATATATGTATATTAGCCATGACAGTGAGAACAGTTAGTATATTTTATATTTTGGCAGAGAAGTGGGAACAGACAATAAATACTAGACCTAATAAATATATAATTCAAATAGAAGGGGATGGGAGCTTCAGAAAGAAGAAAAACAAAACCAGGCAGATGGAAAAGAAGGTCATCTGATGATGGGGTTTGGGTTATAGCACCAACTTGCTGGGGTTGTCAAGATAAAGGAGGCTGCTGATGGCTCTCTAGAGAACATTCTAGACCCTTTCATTTTTTTGTAACCCTTTCTCTTTCTTTTGGAAGGTCTATGTCACATGCTGTGGTCATTTGTCTTTTGGTATTCATGGCAGTAACTGGGGCATATTCTGAGGGACCTGATATCCCATTCTATTAGTCCGTCATCATTACTTTAACTAAAAGGCCTGGGAGGAGCTTTTAGGAAGGAAGATGGTTTCTCTTTGCTCACAGCTTAGGAGGTTGACTGACCAAGAAACCAGGTGGCTCCGTTAGTCTGGCATCTGATGATAGAACATATGTGGAGGGAAGATTACACAGAAGCCATGATGCCCAGAGACCAAGGGCAGGATCCTTCTCCATGTCCCTGTGTCCCTTCCCCCAGCCACCCCACCCAATCCATTCACTTCCTGTAGGCCACACCGTCAGATGCAGCAGTTGGACCAGGGCGCCACCTTGATGCATCCATCATCAACTCCCAGCAAGGCCTTGGGGTGTAGATGTCCGCATAAGTCTGGACACCCATTTCTGTTCAGATCATAACATCCAGACTCTTAAAGCCTGCATTTCTCACATGCTTCCCATTGATGAAGAGGCTCATCTAGGTTATATCAATGTTCAGGAAGCTTTAAAAAAAAATTTACTTATTTTTATTGGAAAGGCAGATGAGATTTACAGAGAGGAGAGACAGAAAGAATGATCTTCCATCTGCTGTTTCACTCCTCAAGTGGCCACAGTGGCCGGAGCTGAGCCGATCTGAAGCCAGGAGCCAGGATCTTCTTATGAGTCTATGATGTGGGTGCAGGGTCCCAAAGCTTTGGGCCATCCTCTGCTGCTTTCCCAGGCCACAAGCAGGGAGCTGGATGGGAAACGGAGCAGCTGGGACATAAAATAGCATCTATATGGGATTTCACTGAGTTATCACACAATGTTCAGAAAGTTTTAAAACTAGTAACAGTAATCCCAGGAAGGGATTATAGGCTAAGGGCAGCCCCGCACAAGTCTTACACATGCAGCAGACTGCACTGTACAAGAGCTCAAGTCACTGCAAGGAGAGAGGCTCTGCAGCACGGGCTCCAGGAGAACGCCCAGCTGCCAAGTCCTGACAGCCCAGCTCAAGGCTGCCCACCAGCAAGCTCTACACACGCCCAAGAAGGCCAAAGACAAGGACCTCAAGGTATGGGATGGTTATGAGCAAGACTGTTTACTGCACTCCTGCCACGTGAGTGCCTGCTGTACACTGTCCAGTGCATCCGGCTCTTTCCCTCCAATACCTGTAGTGATTATACAAGGTTATTACCCTGTTCCCTTGCATCACGTGAGGAAAGAGGCTCCGGGACATTCAGTAACTCACTCAGGGTCATGCAGCCACTAAGTTGTGAAGCACGGATGCACACTCAGGCAGGTTTGGCTCCTTGTAGTGCTTTTCCTTGTCTGCACATGATCCTTCTAATGGAAGAACAACTGGTGTTTGTGCCTTGGTGATGCAGTGCATAATGCATGCCGGGGAGTCAGGCTGAGCCTGAGCAAAAAGGAAGAGGGCAAGACAAGATTGAGCAAAGAGCAGCACAGCAGCAAAGACCTTCCCAAGGGTGTGGAAAAGAGGGTGTGAAGTCAAGCCCACCATGGCGCCGGCCTGGCAGTGTGATTCCAGCACTGCTTATCTGGTGCCTTCTCCCTCTGTCATGGCTTCATTACCTCCTGATCTGGAAGGATTCCTCCTTGCTCACCTTGGAGGTTCCTTGAAGAAATGGGCCTCAAAGACAGAAGGAAACAATGGTGGAGAGAATACAAGGCAGCAAGAAGCCAGGGAATTCCGTTCAGGAGCGGGAAGGAAGGCTTTCGGAAGCCAGAGAAGCTCCAGGCGTGCTGGTAGAGACGTCTCCAGGGAGAAAGCAGGCTGACGTGCTAATGAATTTGACCATATGGAAAATTGTTTCAGAGATGTTTTACGAGGAGTTAGAAGCTGTTAGGAGATTCAGGCAAATAGCCAGAGAACTAAGCAAAATGAAGAAAGTTATACAAAATAGAACTTTAAGCAGAATAATTTACTTAGCAGTGAATATTTCTGCCGGAGTCCAGCTCCAGCCAAGTTCGGAACTCAGGAAGGGTGCGTGGAGTCAGCGATAAAGAAAGACACAGACACAGGACACTTGGTGCGTTCTCACACCAGCTCAAGAAAAAGCCGTCCTTTTATTTACTCAAAAACCTTCTCAAGCTTCTACACAAGCAACTAATTGTTCTATTTTTTACTTTAAGACTAGAGGGGCATGTACAGACATTTGGTCATTCTGTCTGCACTTCAGGGCTAAGCAAGTGCCCCTAAAGATAATTCTGCAAAATACTATATTCATATTCTTCAAAGCAAGCCATTATTCATTCTTCAACAATAGCCATGGAGCAACAGCCAGGACTCCAAGGCCAAGGCACATGAGATTACCTACTAATCAGTAGTACATTCCTACCACATTTCTATTTCTACAATTTACCCATTATTTAATGGGAAAATAGGTCGCAAGGGGAAAACATAAAATCTAAAACAAAAACTTCAAATGTTAAATCCCCCTACAACTATAGACCCCTACAACCCCGTAAACAATAAAGCAATAATCAAAAGCATTTTTCTTTAATAAAAGCATCCTTAATTCCTCTAGCTAAAAATTATAAAAGCAGCTAAAACAATCACATTTTCTAGGCTCCAAAAAATTGCAAAGGCAGGCTAGCCTTTGAGATAACAATAACTATATTTATTGCCATAGCAGTTTCAGCTCTCACTCCCATCACTTGCATTCGTATTCAAGACATATATATCAAGCCCCTTCCCAGAGGGTGTGCTGTGTGTCTGGGCTAGGTTCTGAGGCAATAGTTAGCACACAATAAGGTGTCCAAAAATGGCATGGGCTTAATTGTGCTCCTGTGTGTAAATTGTCAAAGGCCCACTCACCAAGACATTATCAGTGACATTAACTCTCAAGCTCACATCAGTTGCAAAATCCTGCAAAAACTGTCTCACAGGAGCAAACAACAATGCCTCAATAGAATATAAAATTCTTAGTGGGGTGCTTGAGTGTCCATGCAGCCAGGGGGTGAAACAGCGTCAGGGTGGTCAGAGAGAAATCCACCAGGCCCTGCCTAATAGCTGGAAACTCCCCTGGGCCTTGCCGCACAGGGGAGCTGTTCTCTTCACACCCTCGTGTCATCCACACCCACTGCACGGACCCCAGCATATTTCCATATAATGAAAATATGGAGTTTATTTCAATGTAGTCAAGAAGCAATGCAGCTGTGGGAAGTGGATGGGTGAAGTATATATAATCTGAAATCCTCATCTACATAACATTAGGTAAGCCATAACCTCACAAACCGTCAAGATAGAATGGAGCCATCATCATATATATTATATAGGTATACACACATACACATATAATTTACTTGGCAGGCAGAGGGAATGATTGAGAGCTAGAGACAGACAGAATCTTCCATTTGTGGGTTCATGCCCCAGATACTTCCAATAGCAGAGCTGGGTCAGGCCGAAGCCAAGAACCCAGAAGCCACATCTGTGGCAGAGACCCAACTGTTGGAACTATCGCTTGCTTCACCCCACCGTGTGCATCAGCAGGAATTTGCATTGGCAACTGAGCTAGAAGTTGAGCCACAAATGCTGATAGTGCACGTGGGGACCCCAAGTAGCATCTTAGCCACTGCACCACATATTACCCCAGGTCCTCTCTTGTTAGTGGTGGCAGACACCAAAAGAAACAACCAGAAGGCCTGACGCTGGTGTCCTCAAGAAAAAAGAATGCAAAGGAAGGGGGAAACAGGATGGGAGGCTGCTGCATGGTTTTTATTTAAAACAACTTAGCTCTTTTCATATATTGTCCTGGTCAAAATATAGAATAAGCTTTAAAAATAGAGATGAGATTATTCACGTAGGCTGCCTGGCACTTATTAGGTCTAACCCTCAAAAATGTCATTTCCCTTACTTCTTTTATTCCTTTAAGTCTTTTTCCAGCCTGGCATGCAATGCAAGAGCTGGGGTAGATGGGTGCTCCAAGGTAATTAGCCAGGGCAATGCTTGTGCTTATGTTCACCTAAACTTTACTCTTCTGGGGCCCAGCCCCTGGCAACCCACAGGCTTTTCTCACAGGGAGCAGTTCTGGTGCCTCCCCAGGGTGGACCAGAGTGCCCGAGACCTGCCATGAGGTACAGAAGAAGGCCAGGAAACCCGGGAATGGGACTCAGGAGATCTTTCCCCAAGTCCGCATGGGATAGTTCCAAAGTAAGACCCAAGAAGCCAAGTCCAAGTTGTGATTGCAAGGCAAGGTGAAGTGTGCAGATTCCTAGTCCAGGAGTAAGAATGGGCTGCCTGGGCTCCAGTGCTGGGTCTGCCCCTCACAACAGTATGGGAATCGATGCAGGTCACGCAGCTTTTCATGCCTCTGCTTCCTCGTTTAGAAGATGACAGGCGATAGTATCTCAGGGGAGACTGAGAAGGTCAAAGAGGTAATTCAGGGTGGCTGGGGCAGTGTTTGGCCGGACAGTGAAGCTGCTGGCTGGGATGTGCACATCGCATTGGGCTGACTGTGTTCACCTCTCACCTCTGGCTCCTCGTGCCTGCCTGGGTGCAAACTGGGAGCTAGACTGAGCTTCCAGCTCATGGCTTTAGTCTCCCAGCCCTTTCCCTTTGAGGAATGAAACAGCAGATGGACAAATCTCTGTCTCCCTCTCTCTCCCTCTCTCTCTCCCTCTCTCTCTCCCTCTTCATTTCTCTCCCCCTCTATTCCTCCTTTCCTCTCCCCCCGCCCATAATGAATAGATTAAAAATAAACAAATAAAAAGCCACCCTCACTGTGCGCTCAGACAGTCCCAGATGGTTAGTACCCTCTGTCCTTCTGGGGCTCAGCTCCAGGGCTGTACTCCCGCTGCATCCTTTCTGTGACTATGGAAAAGCAAATTCATCCCAGCAGCCTCAGCCTCCTCATCTGAACATTACAGCGGTGTTCCAACTAGAACTCTCTTAGTTCTACAACAACCACCACCAGAAATGATATTAGTATCCTATTGCTGTTGCAAGAAATGATCATCTGCCAGTTGTTAGGGCTGTCCCCCTGGTAAAGCTTCCAAGGGACAGTGTGCTTTACCCATATTTAAGCTAGAGGTTGCCCAGATCCCCTGACTCCTGGCCTTCCCACGTCATCAAAACCAAAAACAGAGCATCTCTCTCTTCCTTCCTACCCCATTCCCTGCCCTCGACTCATACTTCTACCCTCAAGTCTCCTGCCTAGCCTTCCTCCTTGCTTCTCCTTCCAAGGACCCTGTGCTGACTTTGGGCCCACCCAGACAATCCAGGGCACATCTCTGAGTTGATCACATCCAGGAAGTCCCTTTGATGTGTAAGTTAACAGATCCTGGGCATTCAGGTATAGACTACCCAGATGTGGAGTTGAGCCAGTATAGAGGGACAGTTTGCACATTTGCTTTGGCAACTTGACATATAATAGGCTTTTAACAAATGGAAGAAATGGCAGAATCAAAGGATGAACAGATAAAGGAACTGCAAGAGAGGGACACAGCCAGTGTTCAGCTTCCATTCTAGACTGAAAAGCCCCAGAAACTCCCCCGTCCTTCTCCACTGCCTGTCATTTCTGCTCTCCTTTGCTCATCAGCCCTGGCCCTTCATCAGACAGCCAATTGCCCTGCTGGTGGTCCTGAATGTGTTCAACTTGGAGCCACATAGATAATGACTCTGTTTCTTCCCTGTCTACATACCACCAAATTGGTCCCACTTGAAACAGATGTCCACTCTGGTCTGGTCAGCTGTGGATGAGGGTGGGTTCATATGGTCCAAAATGGCTGCTGTGGCCAGGCCATTGCTGGAGCATTCACTGTAGTCTTATACATCATACTCTGCTGGGTCTTGGTGGGAGCTTGTCAGAGGGGAGGGGCCTTCTGCCTATGGGCTCACTTCATGCTTGTTTCTTCCCATGTGTGACCTCAGGCCACAGAGGAGCACCCCAAGAAGGAATCCAGCCACAGCCTCCAGATCCAACAGCAAGCACACCAGACCCTGGAGGAGAAGGCAAGGCAAGAGAAGATGCAGACACAGCACGGCCTGCTGCTAGGTACGCAGCCCACCGTCATGCAGGGCAGTCAACCGTGCATAGTGACCAGTTGGAAGCTGAGGGACAGGGTGGGGCCCAGGGGCAGGAGGCCAGGGTGATGATGAGCCTGGCTCTGCCACCAACTGGGTCAGTGTGAACCTCATTTTCCTTTTCCATAATACAGTTAAAATTGCCCCACCTCCTCCATTGCCCTATGTGCCCTAAATGAGAGACTAGAAACAGTGTCTGCAGTGAGAGCCTTTCAGAGGGGCTTTCTGCGGTTGCTTCAACCTCTCATTGCTTCTCAGAGGATTAAAGTGGGAAACTCAGATCTCTATGCTCCCGCAGGTCCCTGCCTACTCTGCCCATTCCCTCCTTATCCCGGCAGGAAACAGCCCCTCTTCAGCTTCCACATCAACAACCACACCCAAAATATTCTAATGGAGGCAGAGATGTTTTGGGGGTTCAAACCTGCTGGGTTGGTTTGAAGCCAGTGCCCAACACCCAGGGGCCGTGTGACCTTGGGCAAGTTACTTAACTGCCCTGCAAATGAGGTTAAGAGCCACCTTCACACGGGGCAGAGGTGAAGATCCGTGAGCAGATGCGTGCAAAGGGCCTGGAAGAGAGCCTGGCAGGGGGAGGGTACAAGCTATGCCTGCCCCCAGTTTTCTCTATTCCTACATGTGACACAGCACAACTGTAGCCTAGGTCAGTGTGTGAGAGGAAAGGAGGGGCGTGTGCACTCGAGCGCCTGGTATTTGGCGCTTGGGAACCAACACAGGCAGATGGGAGGATGGGGGGTGGTGGGTGATTGGATGGGTGAATCCTCGTGTTGAATACAGTTTAAACAATACAGATTCATGTGTTTGTCAATGGGAAGGAGACCACTGCCTGCTTGAGACCCTCACCTCCTTGGTCACTTGCTAATTCCTTGGCCTCCCGCTGCGGTGCTCAGGCTAAGTGTTGTCTCAGGCCATCTCACTCTAACCTGCCACTCAGCAGTGGCCCAGAGGGTCGAGAATGAAGACTTAAAGCCTTGCTTCACCATTTCATAGCTGTGCGGCCCTAGGAAACTTCGTACTCTGATACTGGCTCCCTTCATAAAACAGAGCTGGTGGCATGCTGCAGCATGTGGGGATGTGTTGGCACTTGGATGGGAATGATTTTGCAGAATTTGGCATATTCAGGGCTATTGTACATGGGGCTGTGGTTACTGTGACTGGGACCCAAAACCTGCAGCAGCTGCCCATTGTGCCTCCTTCCTAGACTTTCTTCCCTGCCTTCCAGACTCCAGCCTTGACTGTCGCCTCTCCTCCCGCTGTTCCTTCTGCAGAGTCCGTCGGGCAGGAGCTGTTAGGGCCACAGGCGGCCGGCTCTGAGCACCAGCAGGATCTGGAGGAGCTGCGGGTCCAGCTGAAGACACTGGGCAGCTTGGGCGGAGGGCAGGCTGTGACCCAGTATCTGGGCGACAGGGAGGACCACACCCTCAGCACAGAGGTCAGTACCCCAGCCCAGGCCACACCCCTCCCTTTGGAGCAGCTCCTGGAGGGCAGGAGAAGCTGGTCAAGGCCCAGCCTCTTGGGCCCGGCAGCATGGCCTAGTGGCTAAAGTCCTCACCTTGAACGCCCCAGGATCCCATATGGGCACCGGTTCTTCCCATCCACCTCCCTGCTTGTGGCCTGGGAAAGCAGTCAAGGACAGCCCAAAGCCTTGGGACCCTGCACCCGTGTGGGATACCTGGAAGAAGTTCCTGGATCCTGGCTTCGGATCGGCATAGCATCGGCCGTTGCGCTCATTTGGGGAGTGAATCATTGGACGGAAGATCTTCCTCTCTGTCTCTCCTCCTCTCTGTATATCTGACTTTGTAATAAAAATAAATAAATCTTAAAAAAAAAGATCCAGCCCCTCAGCCAGCATGGGGTATTCAGGCGACCCGCCAGCAACTGTCCTTGCTCTTCCTTTCAGCCCCTTCCCTATAAGTCCACAATTCCTAACCAAGCTGGGGAGCAGCAGCCCCTCACATCCAGCCTCTAGTATGGCTCAGGCTGGCATCCAATAGCCTCTGCCACTGGCTGAACTCTGTGCCTGCAGCCACAACCCCCTGGGTAGGTGTCCTGCCTCTGTCCCCTGCCTGGGTCACCTCCTCTGTCCCTTCCCATCATGCAGCTTGTCCCTCCTTGCGGGGGTCCTTCCCACCACCCTACCCCTACCCCGCTCCTGTGCACCAAGCCCTCTCCACCTGCTGAGCGCCCGGAGTACTGTGGTGACAACCTGGGTCTGCCTGTCATGTAGGGATGCTTTTTTTTTTTTTTTGAGATGTATTTACTTTTATTGGAAAGGTAGCGTTTCAGAGAGAAAGAGAGACAAAAAGAAAGATCTTCCATCCGATGACTGAGCTGATCTGAAGGCAGGAGCCAGGAGCTTCTTCTGGGTCTCCCATGCTGATGCAGGGCCTAAGGCTTTGGGCCATTCTTGACTGCTTTCCCAGGCCACAAGCAGGAGCAGGATGGAAGCAGGACTGCAAAGATTAGAACCAGTGCCCGTATGGGATCCCAGGGCGTGTGCAAGGCAAGGGCTTTAGCCACTAGGTTATTATGCTGGGCCCACAGGAATGCTCTTGTTTTCTGACATGGGCTGGGAGTTTTCAGAGAACAAACCCTATGTGCCCCGCCCCCTCTTGTGCTCACTGCCACCCCCAGTGCAAAGCAGACAGCAGGGTGTGCATCAGTGGGTGTGGACTGATGACAGGTTGGGATCATACATGCCATGTTTTGCTGGTACTGAGTGCTGAACAACAATTTCTGTGTTTGGGGAGAAATAATAGAACGTGAGGATTTACAGAGTGTTTAGCCCAGTGGGTTAACAGGTGTTGTCTAGGTCAGTGGGAGCCTCCACTGCCGATGGAAGAGGACAGAGGACACGCAGGACGAGGACAGCTGGGGACCAGAGTACCAGGAATCAGTGCTCGCCAGAGGGTCCCATAGGGGAAGCCAGGGAGCTCTGGGTTTGTGCCAGCCTCTCATCTTCATATCACATGGGGGAGGCCTTGAGCCTTCTAGGAGGAATGGTGTGGCCTCAGGGAAAAACAGAGCTGAGAGGGGCACCAACAGTGAGGAACAGCCCAGGCAGCACGAGTGGACTGGGGATGGCTCGGGACCACAGCAGGAGGAGTCATCCCACTCAAGCCACTCGGATCACTGGTGTTCCATCCTACAGGGACCTTCCCTAGAGCCCTGTGAAATAACACTCAGGTGTGGCACACCTGGGGACATGAATGGAACATTGGCCACGGACATGAAGGGCCCATTGGCCCCTGCCTCCTTATGGGTCAGGAGAGGGCTGCCTCCCTGCTCCGGCTCTTGCTGTGCACCTGCCGTGCCAATGGGTGCACATGAGCCTTTCACCCCACTCAAACCCAAGGGCAGGAAGCAGGCCCTCCCGGTGCAGAGCTGGTCAGTTCCCATGGGTAGTCAGCCGAACACTCAGCTCTCAGAAACCCAGGCATCTTCCAGTGAGCCTGGACATGCCAGCCTTCACCAGGCTGGAGTGACATCTGATCTCATTTAACGCTGAACACAAACCCCTGACATTCTGGCATCATGTCACTTAGCAAGCACCTATGCGGGACCTACTGCATACCAGCCACTGTGCAAGGAGTGAGGGACAGGGAAGACAGACGGCCCAGGTGGTTGCACCCGGCGTGTAGTCGTGGACTTCGTTCAATGTCACCCTACACACCGGGACCCCTGCTGAACAGAGAGGGTGCTCCAAGCAGAGGCCAGGGCATGCAACTCCTGAGCAGGGCGCTGCTTGCCTGGCCCTGGCCAACCCAGGGTAGGAAATCATTGAGGCCCTATAGCTCTGGGCAGGAAGAGAAGGAGCCATGCGGGTCTCCACCACCTCCGCAGCACAGCCCTGGTTCTTGCATCTCCTGAAAACACCCCTCTCGTGGCTGCCTTCTTCATCCTCAGGGGGCTGGCCACCCGGGCCAGGTCAGTTCCCTGCCCGGTGTGGGCGAGCAGGGGCTGAGCCCCCGGTGCCGGCTGCGGGAGGAGAACGCGCAGCTCCAGGACACAGTGCGGCGGCTGCGGGCCGAGGTGGAGCAGCACCAGCAGGAGGCGCTGCAGCTCCGCGGGCAGCACAGGTGAGTAAGGGAGCTTCCCACCTGCCCCTGCTTAAGGTCTATAAAGTGGAGTCACCTCCCATCCTAACTGGGCGGGGCCCGAGGCTCTTCTGAGAGGCAGCCCACCGGAGCCCACTTGGTCGGGGGTAGGGGAATGAGAACCCCTTAAGCTCAGCGAACGGCTGGCCAACATGACCCTAGGCAAGGTCCCAGAGCACAGAGGTTGGACGAGGATAGGGACTCCAAACTACTTTGGGTCACAGCCTATTCGAGGTAAGGAAAGGCTTTAGGATGAGGTCGCACAAAAATGGGCACACGCTCTATGAAGACAGCACATCACTGGGTTCATCCGTGGTCCCCCTAGTGCCCGCTTGTAGCTTAAACAAAGTGGTAGCAAAAAACTGAACAACCTCACTGCCGCTTGAGTGGTGTGAACACTCCTGCTCCTTGCAGTAACCACTTACGGTGAGCGCCTGCTGTCACCTGCACTTAACAGAGAGCGGGAGCAGTGTGCCCGGGGTGGCCACGAAGCGACGATGACAGCTGGCCTGATAGGCTGCTCTCCCGGCCAGTCCAGCTGCCTTTCCACTGCGGCTGCGCTCTCCTGGCTCCCAGGGTGCAGCCCTTCGAGGCCGCCCCAGCTGTCCGCAGTGTGGGGAGCTCTGCTTGGCGCCTGGGCAAGTCTGTGCTTCTCTCCGCCGCAGGCTGCTGGAGGAGCAGCAGCAAGCCCAGCGGGCCAGGGAGGTGGAGTCGTTGCGCCAGGAGCACCGGAAGGAGATGCAGGCCATGGTGGCGGAGTTCAGCGGTGCCCAGGCCCGGCTGCAGGCCCGGCTGGCTGCCCTGGAAGCTGAGTAAGTGCAGCCTTGGGCCCATGTTCGGGGCAACTAGCATGTGTACCACTTTGCATCCCAGTGTCCCTGGGCTGCCCCCGTTTTTAATCTGCGAGTCCTGCGTTCTGGGAGCCCCTGAGGCGCACACAAACCAGGTTGGTGGATCACCCGTCATTTTATGAGGCTGCGATGCCCCTGAGAATGAGCATGCTCGTGGGGTGGCTTAACCCCATCCTGGGAAGAACTCGTGACCTGGGCTACTTTAGCGTGAGCATTTGCCCTGCTGTGCAGGTGTCATTCATCTCCTGGTCTTCACAGCCGTCCTTCAGTCCTCTCAGGAGGAAGCTGGCATTCCCACAGGCAGAGAAGGCAGGCGAGGGGCCCTCAGGCATGCACACGTGCAGCTAATCACTCAGCAAGTATGTGGTATACCTACTACGAGTCCCTGCATTGTTTTAGGTTCTGGAGTCAGCAGAGAGCAAAACAGAGACTACAGTCTCAGACTGATGAGAAATTATAGATGAAAAGACAGGATAAGGGTTTAAGAAGTGTCCAGGGTGGAAATGAGGGTCTGTCCAAGGAGAGAGTGTGTAAGTTCTTGTCGGTTTTGTGGTTGTTTTTGCAGGAGGTGGGGCGGGGGACTGCTGTTGTAAGGCAGTATGTTAAGCCACTGCTTGCAACACTGCTGGCATCAAACATCAGAGTGCCAGGTTGGCTCCCGGCTGCTCTTCTCTGATCCAGCTTCTTGATAATGTGCCTGGGAAGCAGAGAATGAAGGCCCAAGGACCTGGCCCCCTGACACCCATGTGGGAGACCGTGGCACAATTCCTGGCTCCTGGCTTTGACCTGCCATTGGGGCTATTTGAGGAATGAACCAGAAAATGGAAAGATGGAAAATCAATCTCTCTTTCTCTGCCTTTAAACTAAAAAGCAAAAACCAAAAAAACTTTCTAAAAACAAATAATAAAAGGAGGTAAGGGAAATTATGAACCACTTAGAGATGGCACACCACTTGCCAAGGCCGCAGGGCCTGCTGCCTGTGGCTGAGAGCAGCGGGAGGCTGAGGCTGAGAAGGAGCAGCAGGTGGGTGTGCTCCGAGTGCCCTGGGAGCCCCTGCAAAGCTTGAGCACGAGTGCCAAGGCCTGGCTGACCTTTACACAAGGCTGCTTCCAGCAGGGGAGCTCGGGGACTGGGGGAAGCAATCAGACGTGATGGCAGCTTCCCAGGGTCAGATAGATGAGGCCACCAGCCCATGACTGTGTTGCACTAAACAAACCTCAGTGCACTCTGTCCCTTAGCCTCTTGAAGACGGTTCTCCACCATCTTCAATACAAAAGAAATTATGCAAGACCTGTAGTGAAAGCTGTTGCCAGGTACCATCTAATGGACACTTGCTATGTGCCAGAATCCATTACGTCACTAAACCCTCCTAACCACTCAGCTTCACGCACATGTAAAAGAGCACACATAAACTCCCAGGTGAAGTGCCGTACCCTCCTGCTGGCTGCAGGAGGAGTCACGGTCATGGGGGGCGGGCGGGGAAGGACATCCTCCTGTCCAGGGTTCTAGCCCCCGCAGCACACTCCGCTGTCAAAGCTGGCTGTGTGAGAATATAGGTGCACAAAGGAGCCGTGGTCCTGGAGGGAACGGGCAAGTCAGACCGGGAGTCAGGGTCCTGGATAATTGTTGCCTGGGCTTGGGCTGGCCATGCTAAACATACAACAGCATTCCCATGGGGTCTGCTTGTCTCCTGGCTCATGGTTGAGGAACTGTTCTCAGTGGAACTCACTGCACGTTGACTTGGAACAGACTGAAAGATTCCGGAGAGAAGCCGGGAAAGGGGCCATCCAGGCCTGAGGACCTGCAGCTGATAGGCCGCCTGCAGACGCGCTTGAAGGAGAGAGAGGACACCATCAAGCAACTCATGGTGAGGCACCCCGCGCTGAGGTCTCACGGTTCGCCCGGCCTGGGCACTGCAGGGTCCCCAGGGACGCCCTCTGCCCCTGGCATTTCCTAGGTGCCTAAGATTTTGCCTTACAAAGAATCCTTTGTCTTTTTCTGGCATTTAAAAAATGCACTAAAACTTAATATAGGAAGCAGAAGGTATTTCTCCCAAATCCAACAGCAAACACATGCCGCATGTTGATACTGGCTCAACGTTTTAAAGCTATAGAATTTGAGAATATCTAGAATGATTTGCCTTATTGTTGAATCTTAGTGCACTCAAACAACTTTTAAAAATTGTTGTTGTTGCTTCTCCTTTGGTAAGGGAGAAAGAAAACCCATTCCTGGCACCTGATTTTGCATCCAGCAGCCGCCGAGGCCTGATGCTCATGTCTTTGAAATGACTGCCTCTCCACCGTCTTCCCCCTTCCCTGCCTGCTCACACCTTTCCCTTCAACTGAATGCTGTTAGGGTGCTAGGCAATTAGGTGGCAATACTAGGGAATCATCATTTGTTTGCTAAGTGTGGAAAAGTTAATTTTAAGGGGAAAAGTATGGGTTTTTGTACAGAAAACACACAAATTTGTTTACAAAGGAGTATGTTGGGCACTGGGGGGTACTATGGTGCATCAGATTAAGCCACAGACTCCTGCATCTCATGTGAGGGCCCTGGTTCAAGTCCCGGCTACTCTACTTCTGCTCAGCTCCCCACTAATGCAGCCTTGCAGGCAGCAGGCGATGGCTCAGATGTGCAGGCTGGAAGTTAAATGAGCAGTTGGAAGACCTTTCTCTCTCTGTCCTTCATTGACTTCCAAGTAAGCAGAAATACGTAAGCATTCTTAAAAATAACATTTCGGGAGGGGAAGGAAGTGTACAATGACACACATAAACAGGACTGTCCATATAGTTGAGATTTTGTTTGCATGTTGTAAGAGGTCTCTGATTCAAATGTAAAACAGGGAGCAAAGGATTTTCCTTTGCTATAATTATTAACTTTCTGCCATAAGTTCTTGCCATCGGATGCCAAGAATCCTTGGAGTCTCACTTTCCAATGCATACACTTCCCTTTCCTTTTCAGGAGGGGCTGGGGGACACGAGGCCCTCAGGGCTAAAGGTGCTTGTTCAAAGTCCCCGGGCTGTGTCTGGATCCTCCAACTTCTCCGTCCCTGGACTTCTCATCTCCACATTGTACCCCCACAGCCATTTTCCTTCAAACCAAGCCCTGTGCTGTGTAGTTCGGCTCATGTAGCCCCCGTTGTATTGCTTTCCAGGAAGAGAGAAGATTGCAGTGTGCAGCTTTCCCCAGCCCAGTGTCCCATCGGAACCGGTCCTTTTCTTTCAATCCTCATCCAGGATATTTGACCCCTTCCATGAAGGTAAGTTGGTTCTGTTGCTTTTAATGAATTACTCAGTTCCGATCTTTTTGTTTCCTTAAAGATAACCCCCAGCTTACTAATGGGCTAAAGTTATGTTCAGAGGGATATTCACTGGAAAGACCCAGAAGAATTAGTCCAGAGTATCCACAGTGTTTCTATCTGACTGGACAGATTCTATGTGGGTTTTGCAATGAGCTTTTGTAATTTCCAGATCTTTTACAGTAACTGTCTCTATGCTAATAGCTCTATCTGGTGATGAGAAGGAGAGACACTTTTTTTTAATTTGTAACAATGAGCATATTAACATGCAAGTCTCTTGTCTGTTATCACAAAACCCTAAAAGTTAAAAGAAATTGGTATTTTTTTAAATTGTTCACAGGACTGCACTGATGTGATTTCATTTATTACTTTTATGTATGCCTCCTTGTGTGATAAAATATAAACATACATAAAAAATTGTGGGAAAATGGAATTAAAAGTTCATTTTGAACCCCACATTTCAGAATCTATCATTTTTTCATTGCCATGTTCTTCATGAATTTTTCGAAGACTCCTTTATATAATCAGATTGCAAAGTTTTTGCATCAAAATACATTTTTCTTTTAATTCCATTTTCCATGAGATTTCTGTACTGCCCTTATGTAAGTTTCACCCCAGAATTATTGATTCATTCGAGGACAGGCTGGGCCCAGGTGTTGTAAAGAATGTCACATTGCCTTCTGAAGTCTAAGGAAAATCTGAATTACAAAGTATGTCCATCGCAGAGGTTTTGGGTAAGAAAGTCATCCAAAATGTAACACATAGCTATGTAAAGAAAATTGCTGCTGCTTCTCCCAGGTCACTCTGTCTGGGTGGGCCTTCGTTTCGCAGCAACATGTTTTGGGGGAAACACTAACTGACCTTCCTTTCACACAAACAGAAGAAGAGGATGGAGGAAGTGCCCAGCCGAGTGGTCAGCGTGCCAAACCTCGCCTCTTATGCTAAGAACTTTCTAAGTGGAGATCTGAGTTCCAGAATCAATGCCCCCCCAATAACTAAGTCACCCAGCTTGGACCCAAGCCCCAGCTGTGGCCGGCCTTATAAGCTCACCCAGCCTCCAGATGTGAAAACTGCCATAAGGTGGGTGGTGAGCCATTGCCCCTTCCCCCAGGGAAATGAGGGTCCTCTCTGTCACCTGCCTAGACACTTGGCATTTGGGCAGATGCAAACACCAGCACAACAAGCCTGCCTTGGAGAAATGACAACAGAGCTACAAGGGGAATTGAATCATTCTTTGAGAAAGGTACCATAAGTGCAAATTCCACAGGGTCTCATTTCATACATGGATAGAAAAGGGACACTGGCTCACCTGACTGTGAATGTCTGGGTTAGACAGAAGGCATATCCTCCATCTGCCAGGGGTATCTGGATACGAATCCCTTCCTCTTTGACAGCCCACTTGTACTCTCCAGGGTATCCTCCTCACTTCTAAAATGCTGGTAACATGCACCTGCCTCATCAGACTAAAGTTATCAATGCACAGGACTTGCTTAACATGAGGTCCAGGCATGGAATGTTCCCTGTAATTCAGGAGTATCATTAAGGTGAACCTGTTGCATGGTCCTAGTGTTGCTGAGGCCTTGTGATATGCACATTGGATTGATCATGCACAATGGCTTCATATACAACTTTTACTTTTCCTTGCAGCAGCTCTTCCTGAAACTTGTTATTTTTCATTTGCTCACTAATTTACCCTCCCAATCAGTACCCCATGCAGACACAATATTTTAAGTTCTGCGCCTTGAGGTTTGCATTTGAAAAGGCCTCTTCTGAAATGTTCCTGTACCAGGGTCCCTGCCTGCCCTCCTCCTGGCTCCCCTCCCTCAGGTGCTCCTGAGTCCTGGGCTGGAATCACCCTCTTGCAGTGACTACGTCTAGTCCCTTCACAGGAGTGGAAACTGTGACACAGAAAGGCAAGCACACGCCTGAGTGAACTACCAAAGCCAGTTCCAGACTCCAGCAATGGCGTCCTTCCATTATGATGTGCCTCTGTGTAAGGCCATTTACTCATGGTGCTGTATGAAGCTTTGTGAAGGCTGTTTTAGTTAGAACAATGTAAAACATCATTGAAAACAAAGCTTCAGATTTTTGGTGCACTTTGAATTTCTGGGTTACAGATGCTCGGTGAATAAAATGTATATAAATATTCCAAAATCTCAAAACAGTGAAACCTGAAAAACTTCTGGTCTCTGGCATTTCAGATAACAGATGCTCGACCTATGCCCTGTTGCCCACTGTTTCAGGGGTTAATTTCATAGCCTCGCTGAGACCTTAGAACTTGAAACAGGTAAACATCTTACAGAAGCTATCTGAAATAAAGCTGTGTTGATAAAACCTTTCTTTCTTCTACCTTTTAAAATGGGGTTGTCTAGTTAGCGCCTAAAATATGTAATAAATGTTGCAAAATGTGCCTCATTACTATAGTAACCACTCAATCTTAAACGAAACCATGCTGCCATTCTCTGTCACTTGTTCCCAGTTACTGGGGTCTGTTGCTCCCTATATCCAGCCCTAGACGTCAGCGAGGGGTCTTACATGGATAAAGCAGCTACCATTCCCTAAAAACATGAGAGGGTATTAAACTGCTCATTGAACATTTCAAAACCATACCTCTTCTTTTTTTTAGGACACAAGATGGTGAAACAGCCGAACCCAAAGAGGCACAGAAGCCAGGCTCTGCCCACCAGGAGTGGTTCACTAAATACTTCTCCTTCTAAACTGGTTTTTAGGACACATGACAAACAGGATTTAGGGAAATTTCTCTTAAAATGTCTGATTGGAGGAATGAAAAAAACAGATGACATGCCTGTAATCTGGTTTCTTTATGATAGCCGAAACAAATTTTGACATTAATGTTTTATACCATTTCATAGTGACCTCAATTCATTAAAAAAAAAAAAAAGCCTTGATGTTAGATCAAACCAATCAGTGTTAGTGAAAAAGCAGGAATAGGAAAATGTCATGAATGCCACTGTGACCTACACATTGTGTTTCTGGTGACTCTGACATTGTATTCCAATTTGATGCGTATGAAACTTTGTGATTCCCATGGTCTGCTTTACAAGTGGTTTCATTTTTTCCTTAGGATGCCAGCCAGCCATCACTCTTGGAAGTTATTTCTATTTAAAATTATGTAATTCCAAAATGCACATCTGACCTCAAAAGGATGAAAGTAAAACAAAGCTCAAAATAAATACAAAAGTGAATTAGAAAAGAGCAACCATAACACATGAACTAGGAATGTCCTATGGCCTGCTTGGAGTTAGCACTCTGACTGCCTAGGTCTAGGAAAGCAGCTGATTACAGAGGACGTAACACCTACCTCAAAAGGAGCTTTGCAAGGATGGATTAAGCAAGACAATATGGTAGATATCAACCTTCTTGGAATGATCAAACCCTGCCCCAACAGGCATCTGAATTTCTGTGACTGTGGCATCAACTTGGTTACTTGTGGAGGTTTCTAGACTGTTATTTGAAGTGGAAGATCCATGAACCTCCACTCACTGGGACTGGGTCCTTTGCATGGTGGTGCGGTGCTTTCCCACTGCACATGGCCTCAGAAGAGGGAACGAGGAAAGGCTGTTCACGGTGCTGACCTTGCCCTTGGTCCACTCCCTGGCTTGATACCAACAACTTGTGGTGAGCAAAATGTTTTCTCAGACCTTTGGTGCTGGCCCAACAGTTGGCCCATAAGCAGATGTTCATTCTATGCTCTTTGAATAAAACTAAACAACTGGACAAGAAAGATGGCTCAGACTGCTATTACCTTCCCATGTAGAAAGGCCAAACAGATGAAGACAGAACTTGTTTGTATTAATCTCAACTAGATCATCCTTAAAGGAAAACTAGCTAATTACATGCTTAGGTAATTTTGAAACACACAATTCAAATTCAAACTCACAAATTAAAAGGTAAATTTACTATCTAATTGAACAAGAAACAAGGGGCCAGCACTGTGGTACAGGTTAAGCTGTGGCCTGACATGCTGGCATCTCATGAGTTTTGGTCTGGGTCCCCACTGCTTCACTTCCAATCCAGCCTCCTGATAGTGTGCCTGGAAAGGCAGTGGAAGATGGCACAAATACTTGGGTCCCTGCACCTAAATGAAAGGTCCAGATGGAGTTCCAGGCTCCTGGCCTAGCTCTAGCCATTGCAGTCAATTGGGAAGTAAGCCAGTGGATCAATGTATTTTTTTTCTTCTCTCTCCCTTACTCCCTCCCTTTTGTAACTGCCTTTGAAATAACCAAATGCATTTTTTTTTGCTTCAAAAATATGAAAACCAGGGTATCCTACTGCACTTGGAATACTTCAACAAAATATCTAAGACTGAGTAATTTACAAACAAAATTTTACATGCGTGCATGTCATTTTTTTATTGTATTTTTATTTTGTTACTGGAAAGGCAGAAGACAGAGGTACTTCTCATCCACCCAGTAGTTTACTCCCAAATGCCAGCAACAGCTAAAGGTAGGTCAGGCTGAAGCCAGGAGCCAGGAACTCAATCTGGGTTTCCTATGTGGTTGGCAGAGACTAAACCACTTTAGCAATCACTGATACCTCCTGGGGTGCACATGAGCAGGAAGCTAGAAACAGAAGTTGAGCTGGAACTTAAGCCCTGACACCCCAATGTGGGTTGCAGATGTCCAAGGGGGCCCCTTAACATAAGGGCAAATCCCTGCCATACAACAGAGGACAGGAAGGGACTTTGGACTGATACAGGTATGACAGCTGGGAAAGGCAAACCAAGGAAAACTGAGGAGGGTCAGACGGCAAGAGAACTCTGAGGTCTCAGCTCCAGTGCAACTGTCCATGACGAGTCCACGCAGACAGCGAGGAAGTGGCCTGGCCCAAGCACACCCCTGGCCTCCATGAGTGCAGCAGAAGCAGAGAGGAGCTGGAAGCTGAATAGGGGCTGGGAAATAAGCAGCCCACGATCGAAGGAAATGAGATGAAAGGACAAGGATCGGTGTGAGCTACGAGGAAGTCTAGTGGACTGACAAGGGGGAGGAATCTCCTGAAGGAGACAGGCGCTAGGGAAGGCAAGTGGCAGGAAACCCAGCACACAGGTAGGATTTATATGGGGTAAGTACTTTACAAAAGGACAGGAAAGGAAAAGCTGCTGTGAATAGGCTTATCCAATGTACTGGGAAGGTAACAGATTCCAGAGGATGCCAGTAAAACAATTTCTTTTATTTATTTATTTATTGAAAGGGAACGGGAATGGGAGTTAGCTCATCCCTGTGTTCACTCCCCAAAAGCCTGCATCAGAAACAACCAGGCCATAAGCGGAGGCTCAACCCGGGGGCCCCACGTGGGTAGCAGGGACCTATCCACACAGGGCATCACCCACTGCCTCCCAGAGCAGAAAGCAGAAATTAAGAGAAAGCTGGACTCAGAAGCAGAGCCAGGACTTGAACTTGAGACAATTCAACACAGGATGCAAGCATTCCAAGCCATGTCCTAAAAGCTTTAGCAAACATCTTGTTGACAAAAGCTTGAGATGGTTCCTTTGTCTAACAAGCAGAATGCTGTTAGAAAGAAAAATATATTGACAAACCAACAACACTGAAAAATTGATATTTACTTAAAACTTTTCAATATAACAAAGAAATGGCAATAACAGGTACAAATATTTCAATAAAATAAAGAAATGGCAGTAATTGGTACATATGGCAACTAAAAACATTTTCAGTAAGCACCAAGTAGCATCGTCCTCAATCTTTTCACTGAGCACCTTTCTTACTAAAGAACCAAAACTTAAAATTTATAACTGTTTAGCACTTCTAATTAGCTTTGCTAATTAGCCTGAGACAACCAAGTTAATCCCCCTCCCCATTCAGAAGGAGCAAAAACAACTTGTTTAGGCTTTAACTCAGTGATCTGCTGGCTTCCAGCTGGGTGTCAGGACCAGGTGACAAACAGCACACACACAAGCAAACATGAGCAACGATAAATAATACACAGTCTCGCCTTAATCAAGGAACCAACTGGCATACAGAGTGACTCACAGAGCCTGAATCCCTAACCTTTAGGGTGAGCCAGATGGGGAGAGGGGAGAGGCCTGTGTCCTTGGCTGCAGGGGGAAGGGCACCAGTAGGCGAGAACATCAATGAGCATTCATGGCCAAGGAAAACAGAACAGCTAAGATTCAGAGCCACACAAGGTGTGGAAGGCAGTGAAATGCACACTCAGGCAGAAGGGACGTAATTCATAAAACCATGGGTGCAACAGGAGAGGGAGAACCTCACCCACCAAGAGGCTGCACGCCCCACCAGCACTGGGTTGCACAGCTCCTGGGGCAGCCCGAGGCCCAGCCCTGGGTCCAAAGCCACAGCCCTGCACAATCAACTCCAGCATCTCAGCTCCAAATGAACGAAATACAAACAAGCAATACTGCAGCCTGGAGGCCACCAGAGTAAGCTTAAACTGCTGCTCCCCTGCCCAGCTACCGCACCATCGACAGCACCATCAGCCCTTTTCCTACCATGGGTTCACTTCTGCAGCGCTTGCTCCTCCCACCTCCTCCCCCAGTGAAAGCAAGCACCACACAAAACACACCCAAACAAAAGCAGTGTCAGCTAGGGACCTCTGCAGCACTGCAATCCTGACCCAGAATATTTTGTATCTCCTTCTGCCCTATTTACAAAACACCCACTTCTGGAATGCCTTGGAGGCACTGCAGATGTGGTCACATTAGATTCCTCCTCTTGAGGTAGTTCAAAGTCTAAACATAATTTAGTTTTTACTTTTAGATTGCCTGAAGGGTAATTACCCAAAAACCCTAAGCCAAAATTCTTTCCCCAGGTTCCCAGGCTATTTTCATTCACAGATGACATAAACTAACTGGAAAAACAAAGTCATACAGACAAAACAAACTGTCAATATTTTCAGTCTCACCTTTGCACAACACACAAAAAACTATTCTGTTAAAAGCTACACCCACTTTATAAAGTATGAAAGAAATGAATAATTTATAAAAATGGGGTGAATTTTAGTTGGCAGGCTAGAACTAAAATCACCCTATTGTGTAGCAAAGAATTTCCCCAAATCATCTTGTTAAGGAGCAAAGAGTTTCCCCAAATCATCCCATCATGTAGCAAAGAGTTCTTCCAAGGCCCCAGGGGAGGTTGTGAGGCAGAAGCGTGCCCAGATGGCCTCAGGTGGGCTTCAGAGGGGCAGGGATATTGGCAGACGCCTGCTCCAGGTAGGCCAACGAGCCCTGCGGCATCTCAGCTGGCTTCTTGTGCTGCACGTTGATGTCCTCCAGCACCTGCTGCCAATGCCTCAGCTTGGTCAGGTGCTTCTGCACCAGCGCGTCCTTCCGCTGCAGCTCATTCCTCAGCTCTGAGACATCCTAGACACAGAGACAACGGGATGAATCAGAGAAAACTCGGCAGAAATGAATGCAGCTCCCAGCATAAGAAGGAAATCCAAAACCAAGAGAATCTGTTAAACAATATTAAGCCCATCACTCTGCTCGGCTCCAGCTCTGAATTAACTCATGGAAGACACCTGCCCAACTCTGACAGTTTTTTTAAGGACTCTTCTTTCAGTAAGCAGTAACACGAGTCACAGAACACAAAAGGCACCAGTGGTCAGCCAACAAGTCCTCAGTTACCTTCCCACCCCTGCCCCACCAGCCAGAGCCTCTGTTCAAAGGCTACTACCGCTGAAAATCTCAAACACTGAGAAGTAGCCAACTGTTCCTAGGGATCCACATCCCCCTTAATGGCTGTGACCTGGCTCCAGCATGTCTGCACTGCTGTTCAAGGGTTCACCTCAGAAAATGACAGACTGCAGAAAGATCATCTTCTTTCCAATCACCTTTCAACATCAGGTATCATGAATAAAATGCACCCCTTTGATGACCTGATCAGCTTGTGGGAACAGCCATTTCAAGAACAGTGCAAAATCCACGGTCTGAATACAATGTTTCTGAGCACCCAGTGGCCTTTTGGGTAGGACAGGTCTTCACTCTTCCATCCTCAGAGGCAGACTCCGCTCTGAGCCACTCAGTGCCACTGGAGCTTCTGATTCTTCATGGCAGCCCTGTCCACTCCCAAGAGCCCCAGTTCTGGGCAACTGAGATGAATGTCATCCTGAGTTTCAAGGAGTCTGGGTCTAAGAAATCTACTTTCCCATTCCTTGAACAAAATCAAGTGACTCCTTTCTCGTGGGCAAAGCAACTGGGGACCCAGGTCACAGGTTTCAGTTCTAAATGAGTTAGCCACCTACATTAGTACCTTTTAGTAGGACTTTCTCTTTAAGAAAAATCCTCCATGGAAACCGGCACATGCCACAAATAAGCAGATCTGCCTCTTACTGCCCTCTGCCTGGCTCTACGCCAGTCCAGGCGGGCACAGATACTGACAGCCACCATGCTACACTCATCTTAAAAGTGCCGCTTGAACACAGAATAGCTCATCTCACTTCAGCGTAAGTGGAATCCTAGGCTTGCTCTTTCTGAAGTGAAGGAGAACAGTGCATTTATACCTCTTTGATAACTTGCTCCGGCTTCTGCACAGACAACTGCAATCTTTTTTGCAGGAAGAAGCATTCTGTCTGTCTTGCAATATCTAGAAATTTCTGGATACACTGATCAACACCTTAAAAAAAAAAAAAGGACCAAAATATTAAGAAAAACATTAAACACACATAACGTCTCTCATAAAAGTTCTAAATACTAACAGAGATGCCTTCTCAATGTGATCTGTGGTTTTAGCATAGTCACAGCTCTACCGACTCCTATTCCCTCGCGGGCAACCACTACTAAACACCAGATAACTGAAGCGTTTATCAGCTGAAAATGAGACTTTCATATATGAAAACCACAGATTTTCTGAAGAAAGACAAATCCAGACTCATCTATTTTAAATGAAACATCTAAATATCTCGGAGGACAGACCTCAGGGGCAAAAGAGGATGCGCAGCAGACTCAGCAGACTCCTACTGTTTTTGACACTTATGTAAACAGATACAAGCTTGTGTGTGCATGTGTGTGCACACGAGCATGCTGCTGAAGCACCACACACACTACTAGCCCTCTTCATCTAGTACCAGCAAGAAAATCTAGTAAGTGACAAAGACGTTAATAAACTAAACAAGGAGTTGGCAGTTTACAGAGGTGACTTGTACAGATTTTGTTCTCAGGAATCAAGCAGAACGGAGACAGACCAAGTACAAGTTCAGCCCTGAGAAATCCTGCTAACAGCAAGACAACTGACAAAGAGAACTCTTACCAGTTCGAATTTCTTCCTGATCAGTGCCATTGACGTAGTCCTGGCTCACCAGAGAGGCAAAGCAAGCCTGTGTGATGCAAGCAGTGCATGAATAATGATTAATAACAATGCAATAACGATTAAGGAGAAGTCATTTATATACCAAAACCCTTACCTCAGAGTAAGAAATACCTTCTCTAGGAGAAGTCATGTGTTGACAGTCTTTTCTAGCAAGACATTTGTTACCTGGGCCAAAGAGGGAGAACCTGGCAAACAGGCCAGTGACTTCTGCCAGTGCCACGGCCGGTCTCTCATACCACCCCCTGCTCCATGAGCTCACTGAACCTCAGCCCCACCTGCGCACACTTACAGGCCTCAGGATGACCATCCCCTCCTTAGAGGCTGTCCTTGCACCCACTTTCCACAAGGCCCCTTCCCCTGCTCAAGTGCCACCCTCCAGCCCAGCTTTAGTGTTGTGCACACAATCAGCTGCTTTCCTCATGGGTTCTTTCCACCTTGGCCAGTGCTGGGCATTCTGCCTGTGCTGACACCTACAGTCCTCATGCCTGTAACGTTAATGAACACAGACGTCTAACAAACACCTGTAAAGGGACATTCTAAGAGCACAAGGTTGGCATCACACGGACAACCAGGTGTCAAGGAAGGACTCTTTCTAGACAGTGATTGGTCAAAGAGTCCAACCCAGGGCAGCTTGCAGCGCGCGCCCGTGCCCACAGACACACACACACTCACGCACAGAAAATGAGGTGATGGCTGTGGAGCTGAAACTGCAAAGCCCTCAAACCTCCGACAGCAGGAAGCAAATTATATGTGGCTTGACACAGGAGACCTGGGCTCACACTTAGGTCATCACCTGGAAGCCAGGGCCCTTTGGCAAGCCACAAATTCTCCGGTGTGCAGCTTCCCCAGCCGGTTTACAGAGGAGACCACGAGAACCCCTGTCACAGCTCGAAGTAGAAAAGCAGGATACTATACGTGTTACTTCAAAAGGAAAGAATAAATCTTCATAAAACCTCTGGTTAATGGAAAACATCCCAGGCAGAAAGCCAAGGAGCCACCAACTGCTCCCTCAGAGCTGGCTGAGCCACCAGAAGGGTGAGGCAAAATCTGACTTCAGGAACTCGCGTCCCCTCTCCCCTCTTACACGTGTGCGCGTGTGATCACCAGATCTCAACAGACACTCGGTCAGTCCCACGGGGAAGGAAACGCACGGTCGACAAAAAAGGGTTTTGGAGACATTTCTAGGGCAGACAACCTTCACCTGGAAAGTCAGGAGGAACTATTCGTCCTCGTTTCCATAAACCCTGTATCTGGCTTCTGCCCCTCCAAACCTCAGTGTCCCCATGCTCAAAGGGAGCGGATGGGCCCAGAGGGCCGCCAGGGTTCCCTTCCGCATCAAGAATGCCGACCTCAACTCCTTCCATCAAACAGCGCGAACAACTCCATGCCGCAGAGCCGTCCAAGGCCACACCGAAAACAAGCGGGCCAACAGGAACAGGGAAGACCTGCGACTTTCGGGGTGAACCTGTGCTGGTCGGGAGATGCCCCCACTCCACCCGCGGGGACACGGCAAGGCTCCCCGGTCGCCACGGTGAGCGCAGAGCTACAGAAACCTCGGATGCGCACGCCTCCGCCTCCACTCAACGTGCAGCCCGCCGCCACACACTTCCGTCCTCTAAGCCTTGGTCTCCCCAGCTGTGGGGGGCACCGGCAGCGAAGCTGAGCTCGTGGGGGAGAGACTCCCAAGTCTCATTTTACCTCGAATGATGATTCCAACTCGTCCACCAAGGTACTGTTAGAACTTCTCGGAGCGCCTGGCGCTGCCTGAAGAAGCGAAGCCTGGCCCGGGAGCCCAGAACCCGGTGGCGGGGGACCCGGCGGCTGCCCGGAGAACATACCACCCAGCGGGGCAGCCATGTTTGAAATGGCGCGCGGAAAACCCACTGCGCCTGCGCGAGATCCAGATCGCGGGTCACGTGACAAGGGCGCGCCGCTGTCACGTGATAAAACGAACCCTGCGAGGCGCGGCTGGATGCCGAGTATCAGATTTAGGATTCTTCCGGTTCCTCCCCCTGCTCAGCGCGCAGACTTCGCCGAGTCAGCTTTTGTCTCCCGGCTCAGCTTACCTGTTAGTAAATTCCTCACTTACTGAGTGATTGCTGCATACCAAATGTTCGTTCTCGCAGGAACAGGACAGGTCAAATTCCTTAATTTGGGTGTGGCGATGAGTGAAGTCGCTTTGTGGCTAAAGTGAAAGTTAAATGGAGGCTCCTGCTGGGAGCATTTAAGAAATCTGGAAGAGGCCTGTGGGGCTAGAGCAGAGAGCCTGGGTAACGGTTCCCGGAGAAGCGCAGCAGCGACCTTGCAGCAATGGGCTCGGCTCTGAAAGGTCATTCTCCCCGCCTCCCCGCCCCCGCCTACGTTCAACCGTCCATCTCAGCCACTTAAGCTTGCTTGATTTTCCCCACTGCACATTAAGATCTGCAGTTACCTTGCACGTATTTTGTTGTTCCTGGCTGAGTCTGTCATTCGGTCAGAGCTTACAAGTCTCACCAGTATTCCAGACATCCAGAACTCCCTGGCCTTGATAGGCAAGTCAGTACACGCTGAGGGAAGGTAGCGGAAGAGAATTCCAGCAGGGAATTAAACTTTTTAGGTCTCAGGACCCATTTACACTACCGGTAACTAATGAGCACTCCAAATTTTTGTTGACATGGGTTATATCCAATATTAATTGAAGCTGAGAAATTTTATTCATTAAAAATAATAAATTGGTACGTTAATATTTTTTTTATTAAAATTGTACTGAGAGCTGGTGTTCTGGCACAGTGGGTTAAGTCAAGGTCTGGCTGCTTCATTTTTTTTTAAGATTTATTTTATTTTTATTGGAAAGTTAGATGTACGGAGAGCAGGACAGAGAAGATATTCTGTCCAGTGATTCACTCCCCAAGTGGTTGCATCTGCCAAAGCTGTGCCAATCCAAAGCCAAGAGCCAGGAGCTCTTGCAGGTCTCCCATGTGGGTGCAGGGTCCCAAGGCTTTCATCCATTTGTTTAATCAAGACTGACATCCAACAGTGATTTGTCATATACTGTGAATAAGTAGAAATTCAGAAATAAAAGCAGGAGGCATAGTACAGGCTTCACTGCACACTTGGAATGTGCACCTTCTCCCCAAATCCAGGGTGCACAAATTGCATTATATTCAGTGCTCAAGGCCATGCGTGTGTTGTGTTGAGGCGGAGGTGCTGGACTTAATATTGTTGGTGTGTCGCTGTCCTGCAGCGATGGACTTGACGCAGAGCTGACTGATGGTTGAAAGCGAAGTTTATTAGTGGCCTCAGACTTCATCTACTGGGGGTCTTATGGGATAAGGGAGGAGGTATTGAGCTTATCAACAGAACCCATCAATTGTTTCTATACTCTTGTAGCTTTTTGTTTTCTATATTTCATCAGTGTTCTCATTCAAATGTAATCCACTCAGTTTTCCTCATTCAAATAACCATCAATTATACCAAAGGTATCCATTTGGTTGTTCTCATACAAAGGATATCCAATCAGCCACACAAATGGCATCCATCTAGTTGTTCTCTTACAAATGTTATCCAATCCATTGTAATCCTGTGCTCGCTGACCTTCTAGGGTCACAAAGTCTTTCTATACCCGTCCTACTTTCAAGTTCATAAACTGTCTCCCTTCTCTTCCTATCAGGGTGGCAATGCACCTAGCTCGTCTACTTTCTCCTATCCCTTGTTGCAGCCTCAGCTTACACTGGTACGGCACATGTGGGACCTAAGTGAAAAATCCTTCAAACATACTCATTTAAGAGTAAACTGCATTTGCCCTGCACCTTTTGTTTGGATTTGTTGCTCTCCTTACTCCTACCTAGTCGTAGCTGGTACAGATGGGATACAAAGTGTAGTTCTGAGGACCACAGAGGTTTGTAAACTACCTACTGGGTAGATGCATATACAGCAAACACTTGGTTTCATCTCAACTAGATTAGTTAAAAAACATGAAGTCAGGACCTATGCTTTCCTTTTTGTACTCTACGTTCTAGTCTATACCAGAATTCTATTATCCTTAAAAAACCTCTGCCAGAAAGCCTGGTGTGACTACCATCCTGGGCATTCAGAATCACTTAGGTGTTTTATTCTGGTGTTCTGAGTCCACCTGCATGTGGATACCCAGAGGAACTTGTTTACCTACTACGCTTGATTTTTCTTAATTCTAATGTCATGAATACGTAAGTCTATTGCCATAATCTCTCCATAAGCCAGTTTAGGTACATAGTATCCTTTTTGGTGTCGAACCTTTTAAATGTTACAAATAACTACAATAGTCTTTCCTGTCAAATGCCTTAAGTCATCAAAACAAACAAAAAAACCCCAGGGTTGCTCCTATTCATAATTTGATTCATCTGATGTAAATAGGGGTTAAGCTGTTGCTTTGATGCCAGCACCCCATGTCAGAGTACCCATTTAACCCTTACTTTTCTGCTTCCAATCCAATTGCCTGTTACTCCTCCTGGGAAGGCCGTAGGACACGGTCCAACTGCCTGGGCCCCTGCCACTGATGGCGGACAAATGAAGTCCCTGGCTCGTGGCTTTGGTGTGGCCCAGACATAGCTGGTGCTATCTGCAAGTGAATCAAAGACCTCCGTCTCTGACATTCTTGTAAATAAATCATTAAACCAAAACAGTAAATGAGAGCGTCTGTGTTCCAAATCTGCACAAGCGGGATTCTGCCGACTGGCTGTCGCCTCAGGAGGACAGCGGGTTATCCACTGACAGGACCCTCTTCTAGTCTCGCATCTTCAGTACTCCAAATTCCTCCTCCACCCTCGTCTGCACTGGAGGCAAGGCTTACACTGTACCAGCTACACACTGGCAGCTCTGGCAGTCACCTTCATTTTCCACTTACTTGCTCATAGGGCATCACTTCCACGCCATTAGCCCTCTCTCGTGCCTCGTTTTCCTCATCAGTCAAATGGAATATTAACTGTACCTACTCTGTAATTTATGGGAATTCACTAACACCATAGAAAAGAGCTCCCTGAACAATGCCTGGCAGCTGGGTAGGTTCACAATAGTTAAAATTATGATTTCACAATGGGCTCAGTTTAAAAACCATGTGCCAGGCTGCTGTTACTGTAAGCTCAGTCCCTTCCTGACTACCCCAAAGTGATGAGCACTCACAGAGTCTTTACAATCATTGCACCCCAGTTTACTTAGCTCAAGCCACAGGTCCCAAAGCAACATGTGACAGCAGAGTTACTAGGTCTGTAGTAACACGTCAGTAAACAACAGGACACAAAAAGTCGTATTTATTATTTTGACAGTTGCATAGTCAACTTTCAGTCTGTTCATGTTCCTAGAATCACAAATGCAAAAAATTAATTTTTCGTCAATTAAAAGCAGCTTCATACAGTGGTTTAGAATTTTTTTTTAAAGGATCTGTAAAAAATTTTTTGCAAAGAAAGATATTACCTTTACTTTATAAACCTTTGCATGAAAGAAATCAAACCATATAATTTCATTTTCTTCTTTATGTTTTATACAGCATCTTTTGTTGCCTTTAAAAGATTTTCCTGGGCTGGTACTGTGGTGTAGTGGGCTAAGTCTCTGCCTGTGGCACCGACATCTGGATCCCATCGGCCCACTTTCTGTCCTGTGGACAAGCCCATGTAAGATCTCCCCCTGTCTGTCCTCTTCTCTATACTTCTGTCTTTCAAATTAAATCAATAAGTGGGGGAAAAAGATTTTCATGCATTAATTCAAAAATATTCTGAAGTTCAATTGTCCAATTTTTTAACAAAATGAGAGACTTTTTGAGTATGTGCACTAATCATTGTTTTGAGTGAAGCGAAGTAAGAACTCTATCAGAGTCCTTGTGGGCCTCCCGGTCATGCCCTTACGCAGATAAGGGACCTCGTCTTTGTTGGTCATGACACCTGCTATGTCCAAGTGTGCCCACTTGGGGTGAGTTACAAATTCTTTCAGGAATGCAGCAGCTGTGCATGCACCTGCAGATCTGCAGAGAAAGACAGAAAACATTATTTAACCCTAAGTAAAGGTAATGTGTCCTGATAATTTCATGAAGATAACAACAATTTTGCAAGATAGGTTCTATGACCAGATAGCAGAAGCGAAGCTTATAGGCCCTATTGAAAAGTTAACCCAGGGGGGGCCTGGCAGCATGGCCTAGTGGCTAAAGTCCTAGCCTTGAACGCTCCAGGATCCCATATGGGTGCTGGTTCTAATCCCGACAGGTCCACTTCCCATCCAGCTCCCTGCTTGTGGCCTGGGAAAGCAGTCGAGGACAGCCCAAAGCTTTGGGACCCTGCACCCGTGTGGGATACATGGAAGAAGTTCCTGGATCCTGGCTTCAGATTGGCAATAGCATCGGCTGTTGCCGTTGCGCTCATTTGGGGAGTGAATCATTGGACGGAAGATCTTCTCTGTCTCTCCTCCTCTCTATATATCTGACTTTCCAATAAATAAATCTTAAAAAAAAAAAAGCTAACCCAGGGAACTGGGTTATGTTCGAGTTAAGCTGCTGCTTGCACCCCTGGCCTCCCATATCATGTGCTGGTTCTCAGCTGTTCCACTTACGATTCAGCTTCCTGCTAACGTGCCTAGATGGCAGCAGTGTTGGCGCAGGTACCTGAGTCTGCCACTCACACAGGAGGCCTGGATGGAGTTTCAGGCTTTTGGCATTAGCCTGGCCTAGCCCTAGCTGGTGCAGGCACTTAGGCAGTTAAGTCAGGTGATGGGAGTTTTCTTTCTCACTTACCCCCTCCGTTCCTCCCTTCCTCAAAAATCCTGCTACCTTTCAAGTAACTTTTAAAAAGTCTTTGGGGCTGGTATTAGGCAGTGCAGTTAGCCAGCACTTGCATTGCCAGCATGCCCATCAGAGTGTCATTCAGGTCTTAGTTTTTCTGCCACTCCAGCTTCCCGCTAATGTGTTTGTGAAGATGGCCCAAGTGGTCGGATGCCTGTGCTTAGGAGTGTGATCAGGATGGCTCCTGGTTTCAGCCAGGCTCAGACCCAACTGTTGCAGCCATGAGGAGTAGAACTGGCAGATGGAAAAGCTCTCTCCTTCTTTTTCTCTATTGCCCTCATTCTTAAAAAGGGCCTGGTGCAACAGCCTAGCAGCTAAAGTCCTCACCTTGAACATGCCCCGGGATCCCATATCGGTGCTGGTTCTAATCCTGGCAGCCCCACTTCCCTTCCAGCTCCCTGCCTGTGGCCCGGGAAAGCAGTCAAGGACGGCCCAAAGCCTTGGGACCCTGCACCCACGTGGGAGACTCAGAAGAAGTTCCAGGCTCCCTGTCAAACTGGTTCAGCTCCAGCTGCTGCGGCCACTTGGGGGAGTGAATTATCAGATGGAAGATCTTCCTCTCTGTCTCTCCTCCTCTCTGTATATCCGCCTTTCCAATAAAAATAAATAAACCTCTAAAAAAATAGTTAACGCAGAAATCACTTTCAGTATAGTTACTTTCAGACGTAGTTTTAAGCAATCAAAATACATGTGATTCCCTTTTCCTGTGGTAATAAATGTCTTCTTCCCTTATCATGTGCTTAAAATGATCTTTAGACCTGAAAATTTGCAAAAATAAGAAGCCCGTGAAAATTCAAGGCAGTAGGATGTTTACAAATACTAATTCCAAAGGCAACTAGATAATGAAATATTTTCTAGAGTTATTTCTGACAATCAAAAAGATTATAAAAAAATTAGGCTTATTTTACAAACCTGTATTTTCCTATGTTATTAACATCAGCAAGCTGGCAGTCGATGACCTGTCTTGTATAATGTTCAAAGAGGGGCATTCTCCAGACACGATCCCCTGTTTCCACGCTGGCCTGAAGAAAGAAACACAACAGTTGGGAAACTCGGCAAAGTGCATTCAGGAAAGAGCTGTTCTGCCATCTAAGACATGAAAAATACAAAATTGGTTTCAGAATTGTTTAATTCAGAGTTCCTAGTTCCTGCCTCCTGGTCTTGGTCAGGCCCAGCACTGGCGATAAGGTCACTTGGGGAATAAACCAGCAAATGCAAGATCTCTGTGTCTTTCAAGTAAATAAAAGTTTAGAAATAGATAAAAGATTTATGTAAGAATTACAAAAGAGGGCCCGGTGCGGTGGCGCAAGTGGTTAAATCCTCGCCTTGCACGCCCGGGATCCCATATGGGTGCCGGTTTTAATCCCGGCAGCCCCGCTTCCCTTCCAGCTCCCTGCCTGTGGCCTGGGAAAGCAGTCGAGGACGGCCCAAAGCTTTGGGAACCTGCACCAGCGTGGGAGACCCGGATAAGGCTCCTGGCTTCGGATCGGCACAGTATCGGCCCGTTGCGGCTCACTTGGGGAGTGAATCATCGGACGGAAGATCTTCCTCTCTGTCTCTCCTCTCTGTATATCCGCCTTTCCAATAAAAAATAATAAAAATAAATCTTTTTAAAAAAAATTTAAAAAAAAGAATTACAAAAGAAACCAGGACTATATTGGAGCAAGTCTACCATCTATACGCATTTGCTAAAATCATCAGAGTAAAATTATGCATCTCGGTTACAGTGAACAAGAACCCTGGCGCACGGCGTTGGTGAGTGGCATTGCAAGCTTGAGGCGGGTCATTCAGGGTGTCGGCTGCATCCCTGAAGGGCAGACCCTGAGAGATGACTTCATTCATTCCTTTATCAGTGATCAACTCACTCGTTCCTTCTTTTGTTTACCAAACTTGTTTGGGCACTCTCAGGTATGTTAAAATTCTGTCATCTGAGACAGGACCGCCTGTACGTAAACTGACTGTTCAACTCCCAAGGCAAGAAGTCAAGGCAGCACCACAGTGAAAAGTCAATACGCAGCAATCTAGGCTGTCATTTTAGAACATGAATGGATTCCACATGTCCCAGGTAAGGGCTAAAGGGGCTGCTCGGGGAAAACAGACTGCACACTGCTGATTGCTGGTTTCAGTAAAGCTTGTTCATCTAGAACTCTGCCATTTTTATTGAAGAATTTCACAACAGTGTTGTGGGTGCTATGAAATGGAGGGACAATGGGCACTGGGTGTGTGGGAAGCCACAGGAATTCTCGGCTGGCACAGCAGGTGGTGTGATGCCTAGGAGGCTGGGCCAAGATGCCAGATACCCAGGGAAGCAGTGCAGGTGAAACACAGGCTCCGCCCTGAGAGCCAGGCTCAGCAAGGTCTGCAGCGACACTGTCAGCCACTGGTGCACTGCAAGTTCCCACTGACACTGCCTGGGAGAGTCAGTGAGCTGCCAAGGAGAGCAGGAGGGGAGACGAGCAGAGGTGCAGGTTGAAATCACAGGAATAGCTGGGTAGTTGGGTGTCCCGTGGAGGACTCGAGAGGGTAAGAGCATGTGGTCCCAGCCAGAGGGGCAGACAACAGAGAGGCAAGACTGCAGCAGAGGAGTGAGAGAAGAGAACCGGTGAGAGAAGGTCAGAGCAGAACACAGCCCGATGCCACCAACTGATCAGAGTGACATGCTGTGAGGTGCGAGCCAACTGCAGTAAACAAGGGACTGGCCTTGACATGAGGGAGACACGGAGCGTGACAGTCGGAAGATGCAGCTTAGGAGCCAGGGCCAGCTCTCACAGCATTGCCCAACCATCTCACTCACACATACCAGGTGGCCCTTCTGCACAACACCACCCTCCCACCCTCCTCCACCTCAGGGACCTCACACCATGGCTAGATTGTTTGGCAGCCACTTCCAAATTATCCCGAGATAACTGGAGGAGAGAAGGTGTGTCATACCCACACTTCAGGAACCTTTGTAGAAACCCAAAGCATTAAATGCATCCCTAGGGGTCATTTTCGAAAGGCAAACCCACAACATATTAGCACAGGAGCAGAATAAATATATCATTTTAAAAATTGCAATTCATCATCTCTGTAACTGAGGTCTATGTAAACCATTCCTACCTCAAATAGCTTGTTCCACAGCCAGGATGAATTAGTGAAGACACCAGTGGCACCTGACCCCAGGGCTACGTCTATGGCACCTGTAAGACAAAAGTCTTCAAGGTCAATTTCAGCCCGTGAAGGCAAAACGGGTTCCCCTCTGCTGCGCTGACCCAAACTGTGGCCTTGAACCCTATACTGCAAAAAGTTCACGGGAAAAGAGAACTAAAGGATGGTTTCTTTTGGTGTAAAAATATTTAGAACACATTCTTTGGTTTTCTCATGCTACACCCTTCCATGAACTTTCTGCAAGGCCCCCTGCAGAAGGCCTAGCACGCTGCCTGGTACAGTGCAGCTCACTTAGTTACTGAAGAAGCCAATATCACTTTTTGGAGAATATTAGTGGAATGCCAGGAAGAGACAACCCAGAAGCAAGGCCACATGCTGCACTTCTAAGGAGTATATCCAGAGTGGGAAAATGACTTGCAAGTCATAAAATTTAGTGCCTCGTCAATACCAAGTGGGGGTGCCGCCACTGACCACCTCCAGCCTTGCCCTGATATTACTTACAGCATCAGGTATATAAGGGACTCAGGGGTGATAAAGGTGATGCAATGGGTTAAGCTACAGCATCCAATTACCAGTGTGTATGCTTCGAGTCCCAGCTCTGACCTAGCTTCCTACTGATGCCCGGAGGAGATGGCCCAAGTTCTTGGGTTCCTGGCACCCATGTGGGAGACCCAAAGGGAGTTCTTGGTGCTTGGCTTTGGCCTAGCATATCCCTAGAAGCTACAGGCATTTGAGAGATGAACCAGCAGTTGGAAGATCTCTGTCTCTCCCCTTCTCTGCAACTCTGCCTTTCAAATAAATAATAAAAATAAATCTTACAAAACAGAAAATTCAAATGCTACAGGTATGTGAAATGGACAGCTGAAACAAATGGAAAGCTGCTGATTTGGGAATTTATCACTAATATTTCAAATGTGTACCAACTGGTAATTCTATTATTTTTTCAAAAGATCTATTTTTACTGGAAAGCCAGACTTTTAGAGAAGGAAAGACAGAGAAAGATCTTCCATCCACTAGTTCACCCCCCAAGTGGCCGCAACAGCCAGAGCTGAGCTGCACTGAAATTAGGAGCCTCCTCTGGGCCTCCCACGTGGGTGCAGGGCTTTGGACTGTCTTCTGCTGCTTTCCCAGGCCATAAGGAGGAGCTGGATGGGAAGTGGAGTAGCTGGGACACAAACTGGTGCCCATTTGGGATCCTACCTTCGAGGGGGAGGATTAGCCAACTGAGCCACTGCACTAGGCCTTGCAAATGGTAATTTTAACAAACGTCTCTTCCTATCATTTTCAATGTCACTCCAGGCAGGCTGGTCTGACCAGTGGTCATTTGTTTTTTACTTTAAAGATCTGATTTATGTCAAAGGCAGAGTTACAAAGAGAGAGGGAGAAATACAGATCTTCCATCTGCTGCTTCACTCCCCAAATGGCTGCAATGGCCAGAGCAGGACCAGCCTGAAGCCAGAAACTAGGAGCCAGGAGCTTCTTCTGAGTCTCCCACCTGTATGAAGGGGTGCAAGGACTTGGGTCATCTTGATTCCTTCCCGGGCACATCAGCGGGTTGCTGGATAGGAACCAGAGTGGCTGGATTTCAAACCAATGTCCACAAGGGACACTGATGCTACAGACAATGGCTTCACCCACTACGTCATCGCACTGGCCTCTGGCCCAACATACCTGTCAGTGCTTTTTGTAATGTTTGCGTACAACGAGCCTAGGATGTTTGGAAATAACAAGCCTAATATTCAAATTGGACTGCAACTGCAAAAAAATTCCTTTCTTGAGAGATCTTAGAATGCAAATAAGGTGAGCCAAACTGCAGCAACATGTTGTCTTGTTGCACTGCCTGCAAGATCAGGCCTCCTGAAGTGTGTGGTCTGACCTGTAAGGGTGGCTGCATTGATGATGAGTTTCGGGTTAAAGGTGTGTGCGTAGCAGAGGGCGTCAGCCAGGATGAGTCTGCCCTCGGCATCGGTGTTATCAACCTGCAGAAGGGAGAGTTGACAAAACAAAGGGTGACAAATGCACAAGGGTGAGAGAACAGGGACACATGGGAACTAGGTGTAGGGAAGGGCCAGTCACATGTATCATGGAGTTTCAAAACGTACTTCCCTCACACTTGGAATCTGTCTACCATGGAGAGCTAACAGTGTGAAGGCTGATGATTGGCAGTGGAAATAAACAGAAGCCTCTGGTTGGTTTTACCAGCAAGCGTATAACAAGAAGGAGGAGAGATGTCTGAAAATAAACGGGTTGAAGAGTCAGCTCACCCGAGGGGCGGCCCAGCTCCCCAGTCCATGAGTGGAGGCTCGGCCACTGTGGGCAGTGAGGGCCTGCGTGTGCACCTGGAGGACCACACCGCCACATCCCGCAGACAGAGCCCATGAGAATGTGACAAAGCTCCTTACGAGCTGGCACATCCAGCCAAGGGTAACGCTTGCCCTGCTTCCTCACGCACTGCAGGCCTAGCTGCAAATTCTCAGGAATTCATTTCTATAGCACACAGGCAGAGAGGAACAGTAAGGCAGGGAAAACTTTCTTAAAATCCCTTCAGGAAATAGTTTTAATGCTGTGTGAAAAGCGACCCAGCACTACCGGTGACACCCTCCCCTGACACGAAGCTGTGGCTCGGCCGCTGTGGGATTCCCGGGAGAATGCCAGCTGGGGCGAGGCTCGGCCACCACTCACGAACCTGGATGGTCTTCCCGTTCTTGGCTCGGACCACATCCCCCGGCTTGTTGGCCTTGCCGCTGGGCATGTTTTCACAAAGGGGGGCCAATCCTACAGGAAAGAGAACAAGAAGGAACACAGGCCATGTGGGGCAGAGACCATGCACTCACACACAGGGGCCCCGGAAGCCACCACACAACACTCCAGTCTCCACAATTAGCATCTCCAATGACACAACTGACACGACACACTGGCAACAGCAGGTGAGCATTTTACACTGCACACACAGCCATAGCACCAGAGGAATCAGCCTCGATTCCAAATCAAGAAGAAACAAACCTTACTGGCAGAACGCCATAAGACCCACCTGGGTCCTTTGAAGCTGTCATTTTTTTTTTTTTAATAATTTCGACTGGAAAATAAGGTGGGAATGTCCACCCTGCAGGCCACATAAAGCCTGTGAAATCAGTTGGCCCCACCAAAGCAACTGAAGGAGGAACCTGACATTCAGCAACACTAGATCAGGCCAAGTTTTTAAAAGACTGATTTATCTGAAAGCATTAGAGAGAGGGGGGATGACACTGAGATCTTTCATCCACTAGTTCAGTACTGAGATGACCGCAACAGCCAGGGCTGAGCCTAGCCAAGACCAGGAACTAACAGCTTTCCTGGGTCTCCCACATGGGTGGCAGGAGCCACAGCACTTGGGCTACTTTCTGCTGCCTCTGCAGGAGCATTAGCAAAGCTGACCTGGAGGTGGAGTAGCCGGGACATGAACTGGCAGCTCCCAGGGATGCAGCTATTGCACGCAGTGGTTTTATCTGCTTTTTCAAGTTGACAATTTTGTATGGCGCACGAATGATATAATATACAAAAAGACTCTTGGTAGAATAAAGGTTCCCCATTCTTGTTACAGATCAGGGAAAACTAAAGGGACATGGCAGGCAAATGCAATGTGTGATCCTTGATTTAATCCTGGATTTAGACTAAATGTAAGGGTCAGTGATGCAATGCCAGATAGCAGAGTGCTGGTTCTACACTTCCCTGTGAACACATCTGGGAAGACAGCACAGGACCCACATACTCGAACTCCTGCCACCCAGGCAAGAGAGCAGGCTGGGCTCGTGACTAGCTGTGGTATGCGTGGCCCGTCCGTAGCTGCTGTGGATATCAGGGGAGTGAACTGATGGATGGAAGATCTCTGTCCCTTTCTCACTCTACTCTTCAAATAAATAAGTCTAAAAGGAAAAAACTAACATGACTTAAAAAAGATATTTTTTAGGCTACTGAGAAATTTAAATTGCATTACAGAACTTATCCCTAGAAAAGAAAATAGTGTAAGTGCATACAGTACCCTTGTTCTGAGGAAGCAGGCTAAGTATGCAGGGGTGACAAGCTGTGTCTACAACTTAGCTTTCAAATGGCTCAGCAAAAAAATTTAAAAAGGCCTAAGATATTAAGGAGGAAATAGTGCATGTGGAAGTGATCTGAATTAGCAATGGCTGTGACTGGCAAGCTATTTAACCAACTCCTCGACTCCTTCTCCCCATCCTGTCATGAACTCCCAGCAGTCCGGGAGTCCACACCCTGTAACACTGGGGTTTTCCAGGTATTGAGTACTTTGCCTGTCTCGGGCCCTTCAGCCAGCCACAATCCCATGAGGCACTCAGTGAATGAGCCAGCAAGCCCTCCCACCTTCAGCAACCTTATTGATGGGACTAAAGCACACTTGACAATGCCTGCCTCCAAACACTAAGCACTTTTTGCAGAAGCAAAACAAATTGATTCTATTGACAGCCCCCTGGCCACAAAACACACTGAACTCAATCAGCTACAGCAATAAAACACTTAGCTCAACAGCTCCTGCTTGATGAAAAGCTATTTAAAAGCCACCTGTTGATCAGAGATGTTGAGGAAGCAGTGCCCGTGGACTTGGAGCTGCCATTTGACTGGATCCCAAGGGCTGTGCAAGACAGAGCTGCGTGGTCCCCTTACCTATGATGTTAATGGGCAGGTTGAGCTTCGCAGCAGACACGATGGCAGAGCACACGGTGGCAGCTCCTCCCATGTCGGCCCTCATGATGTCCATGTTTGCAGAGGCCTTGATGGAGATGCCGCCGCTGTGGGGGACAGGGCCAACGTGTGCGATTAATGTGGAAGAAGGTGGTCTGAATCATGTTCTTAGAAAAGAGCATGGAAGCTGAGGGTTACCCCCCCACACAAGCACCCCAACTTTAAACCAGAGTTACTTCATTTTAGAAGACAATACTACAGTCGACATAAATGACGCTCATTTTATTCGGATTTGAGACAGGAAAGTTCAGCTGCTGGAAATGTGACCATCTGCACAGCATCGGGGCTGCACCAATCCCGCCTCTGTGTGACCTCACTAACTCCACCCACAAAGACACTCTTCTCATGGACAGCAGGTCATGAACTGCCAAGGAAGTCCAGGAGCTCCTGGATGACGGGAACACTCCCTTCACACTCGCAGGAAGCTGCCATGCTGGTGACAGAATCCGACCTTCAGGAGGCACAGGCCCAAATCACTTACCCAAAGCCTCCTACACAGCGCTAAGCCCTGAGTTCCAAGAATGTTTTCATTAGCAATGAACAAGAGCAACTACTTTAATGGGCTTGTCATTGATGAGTGAGTGACCTTCCTGCTGCCAGGGTCTCAAAGCATCCAGAAGCATCATGCTTCCCTGGCTGGGCACAGAGGGGGCTCTGTCCCCTATTGGAGAGCTAGCACTCACTTGAAGCACTGCTCTGGAAGCTGCTACTCCCTGTTCCGAGGTCGACCGGGACTACCAATGTAGTCGAGACCAGCAGTCTCCAGCCCAAGGTTTGTTTTTTTCTTGAACCCACCTCTCTCCTGGCTGCTAAACCCACCCTAGCTGGCACTACCAGCCTCCATTGTTTTGGATGTCTGCCAAGAGCCTTGCCAGCTCTGTTTCTGCCTTCCCTTTCTACTTCATTACCCACAGACATCAAATTCTGATTCCCTTCCTCCCAAATTTGCTCAAAATCTCAGCAGGCTTTCATTATGTAAAATAAACTCTAAAGAAAATGCAGGGCCCGGCACAGTGGCCTAGCCATTAAAGTCCTAGCCTTGAACAAGCCAGGATCCCATATGGGTACCGGTTCTAATCCCGGCAGCTCTACTTCCCATCCAGCTCCCTGCTTGTGGTCTGGGAAAGCAGTCGAGGACGGCCCAAGACCTTGGGATCCTGCACCCGCGTGGGAGACCTGGAACAGTCTCCTGTCTCCTGGCTTTGGACTGGTACAGCAACGGCCGATGCCCTCACTTGGGGAGTGAATCAATGGACAGAAGATCTTCCTGTCTCTCCTCCTCTCTGTATATCTAACTTTGCAATAAAAATAAATAAACCTTAAAAAAAAAAAGAAAGAAAATGCAAAGGATCCATCAAGCTCATTCTGCAAAGAGCAGAGCAAGAGGATGTTTAGATTTTGAGACTTTCTCAAAGCTATTGCAATCATGATCCTAGGTCACGGGGTACCGGCGACAGGATGGAGTCCAGGAAGAGGCAGACTAAAGTGCAGAGGTAGTCAGCAGTTACAGGACAGCCTTCCCAACAGCGATGGAACAAGTGGATATCCACACAGAATAATCAACAGGGTCTCAGACATGTTCACGCTGTACACAAAATCACAGCCTTCAAGGCTGAAACTGGAGAGGTCGCTGCAGTACGGGAGCGAAGCCGCAGCCTGGGGTGCTTGATGTCTGGCTCAGGTCCCTGACTCTGCTTCCAGTTCAGCTTCCCGCTCATGTGTGCCCCGGAAGCAGCAGGGGGAGGCTCAAGAAACTGGATTTCCACCACTCACATGAAAGAATCAGACCGTGTGCCAGGGTCCTGGCGTGGCCTGGTCCAACCCCGCATACTGCAAAGTGAACCAGCAGGTGGAAGTTTTTTCTCTCTTTTCCCCTTATTTCTCTGTCACTCTGTCATTTAATTTTTTTTTTTAATTTTAATTTTAACTTATAAACAAAATTCTAAACCTTTAACTTAAAATCCAAAAAAACTTATAGATGAAAACAAAGACCACAGCACAATGTTTTCTTAGGACAGAAAAACACACTGTGCTGGACAGCTGTGCTGCTAAGACTTCAGCCCGCCCCTTCCCACCCTACACCTCTCACCACGCTTCCCTGCTTGCAGCATTTGCCCCTGGCCCCTGCTGAACTAAAATTGACTCCTGCAGGGAAGCCTTCTCCAAGCCCAAAGACTGGGGCCGGCCACCTTGTTAAATATCCTCAGCAGAATATGCAGACATTTGAATTTACAATACACTTCAATCTGAGCTTTAAATATCTGCATTCAGTAACAGCCCATGACATGAAAGTCATCACAATTGGAAGGACATTGGAAAATAGGTGAGCTGTCACTCTCTGATGGTTAAGTGACTAATGGTTTGGAAAACACTTTAGTACAGCATTTTATTCAGACAACTTAGGAATTTTGGAATAGCATCCTCCTGGAATCTCCTGCTAATGGGCAACATAGTCCACATCATTAGAGGACCAATGCTTTAAAGGGGAAAATGTGACCAGGGGGTGGACGACACAAGCAGTGCCAACAGCCAGTCCAAGCGGATTACAGCCAGGGCTGCATTCCGTTCCTGTTCCAGGTGATTCCAGGAGGGTGCACAAAGTGTGAGAGAGTGGCAACACGTAAGGTTTCCCAGTAGCACTGCCAAAGCAGAAGCCATGGAAAATGACTGCCAGGGATCACAAGTCCTCACAAGGAAATCACAGGAAAAAAAGGACTTGGCTGTACCCTGCAACGTCCTATGAACAGAAACAGATGCTCATGGCCTCGTTAGCTCCTGCTGCCTTGACTGCAGCATCTCTGAAACCAGCAGCCAAATGCTCTTCAGACAGGTCACCGAAACATGAGATAACCATTGTGGGCAGAAACAAGTTATTTTCCTAAAATATGTGGAAAGTACCTTCTATGAAAAGATGGGTATGATTTTCAGAAATCTTTGGCACCAAAATAAACTATTACTTTTAATATTTCCACAAATCTTTTAAAGTCTGTTGGCACTGAATTACATCTTTTCACACTTGAACTAATGAGAGGCAGTTTCCAATTCTAAGGCATTCTCACACTTGCAGTTACCAGGGGGAGCAAGATTTCAGCAGTCAGAAGGAGGGCAGCAGCATGCAGACACCTGCGGGCCTCCCTCAGTGCAGGCTGGCTCACAGCTGCGGAGTACCAGCTGCAGAGACTGCAGGACATGTCAAAGACAGGCCTGATTCGCACGTCCAGATCTACCTATTAACTATGAGACCAGAACCAAACTTCAACCCGTCTATGATGTCCATGCCAGCAGAGTGTCCACAGTGCCCACCGCCCACGAGCGAGACCAGGGTGAACAGATGCAAATGGCCTGATGGTCTCTCTCAGGCATTTGAAAAGTGGCAGCTTAACACACTGATCATGTTACATGGTTCCACTAGAGACCATGCTTCTGCATCAAACTATGTCACCAAATAATGCAGGTGTGAGCCAAGTGTCCACGTGAGCACTACAGGAACCCCCAGCAGTACCTGTCAAAGGTGATTCCCTTCCCCACGAACACCACGGGCGGGTCACTGGCTTTGGGGCTGCCCCGGTAGTGGATTTCCAAGAAGACTGGAGGCTCATCAGATCCTTTTGCCACACTCAGGAATGATCCCATTTCTTGTTCCTCGATCCAAGACTTGGGTCTACAGGGCAGGAGAAACAGCACATGCAGCATTACCTTTATTTCAAAACACCTTAGCAAAACAAAAACAAACAAACAAAAGAAAAAACTCACGAAAGTGTAAATATGCCTGGGTGTAATACAACAATCTCTTACAACAGCTACACATGTTAAAGCCTCAAGGATCATAGCCTGCTGCTTGTTTTCTGTGGATTCTTGATTGTAAGTCTATGTAATCTGTAAAATGGGCTCAGTGATTTCTCCATGAAGAGAGGCATGCAGAGTATCTAACCCAAGGCCAAGGGATAGCGCAGAGGTAAAGCAAGAGTGAGTTCCGGCTGCTGTTTCCAGCCCCTGGGAAGGTGGTGGGAGACCCCTCAGGTGCCACTCGGGAAGACCAGGCCAGAAGCCCTGACTCGTGGCTTCTGGTAAGTCCTCCCTGGCTCTCAGGGCATCTGGGCAGAGAAGATCTGCTTCTTGACACTGACTTTCAAATACATTTTTTTTCCTTTAATTATCAAATATGTTTTGTTCTAACCTGATATGTCTAAAATTTTATTCAAAGATGAATTAGTAAGGGTCTGAGACCTTAAAAAGTACTTAAAGCTGGCTAAGGGATCACTGTTTTATTTTGGCATTTCTGAGACAAGGACAAAAAAATAACCAACCAAGCTATATTCCACTGACGGGAATAAAACCTCCTGGTCCCTACTCTGTTTAGAACTTTAGCAATTCCTTTCCCGATTCTCACACTTTCTTAACAGGTCCAATCATGCAGGAAAACACCTGACTGAAGCAGGAAAAGAAGTTAGTTGTCACGTGATAACTCCAGGCGAAATCAGGGCACCAGAACGGAAGCCGGCCTGACTGCAAATGAGAGAACAACCCGCAGCCCTCAACTCCTGGGCTGGGCTGGGCTGCTAAGCTTTGAACTCACTTCCCCGTACCGTAACGAGGCCCGGAGGGAAATCCCATACTCCCACACAGCCTGGCAGCCGCAGCCAGGTGCACCTCACTCCCGCAGCACTCGCCTGTCCGTGCATTAATGAACAGTCTTGCATCATGGTGGGATTGCCAACAAACATCAAAGGGAAAACAATATAAAAATGAAAGCAGCAACAATAAAAAGAATCATTTTAAAAGAAACGAGGCTACACAACGCGGGCTTTGATGACTGCGTCTTTAGGACCTGTGGTTTTATTAAGGAGCTGCCCTTCTGGAAGAGCTGTCTGTATCTTTCTGATGTGCGCCCTCCTACAGTGCAGAGTTTGCTGCAGCTAGTCTCAGCTGGACAAGCCACCCCGCCCACATGTCCTGTCCACTCCCTGCCTTAACTCCTTCCTCTGCTGGGCCACGGACCTTTCAGTTTGCCAAGGGGGACAGCAGGAGCCCCCAGAGCAGCCCATGTCCCTGCCTATTCCTTCCTATAAGGGCCTCCCTCCTGTGGGGATGAGGCCCATGCTGGTGCATGCATCTCGTAAATTTCCAGCCATGTCAGGTGCTGCCAAGCAGCCCAGTGTCTGCTGACACCAAGCTGCTCTAATTGTCTCCTCAAGACAAGAAGAAAGCCTCTGAATCCACAGGATGCTACGGACGAGGCTGCACCAACTATCCAAAAGTTCTATCGATTTCCAAGTACGGAGCTCAAGACGGTCTTCCAGTCCATCATGCCTGTCCTGAAAAAACGTGAACGCTAATCACAATTAGGCAATAAGACTTGGTTTAAATATAAGTTCCTTGGACCAACTAACCTGCCACTGAAGAATCTGCTGCTTTAATTGCACAGCCCCAGGTGCTCGGATGTGGGTTTGCTAGAATGGCTGTGGGGAGATCCCAGGGAGGGCAGCAGAATCTGAAGCAGCCTTTCAGGTCCAACACCCCGGCCACTGACCACAGACAGCAGAGAAATCCCCACTCCACGCCAGATGCGCCCATGCGTTCCTCACCACCTCCCAGAGTGCCTCAAGAGCAAAAATCCACTGAGGCAAACTGAACATTCCTCAACAAGACAGAGTGAACTAACATCCGGTCCAGCAGGTCAACTCCTGCTGATACACATGAGAACTGAAGGTATGTCTACACAAATGCCACAGTCTCCAAAGCGGAGAAGTGTAGGTTGGGGAATAGGAAACAGGGTGATGCCATGGTCATGACACGCGACTGAGTAGCACACTTTACCCGGGTGAACTGCTTGGCCGTGAATGGCGTGTTCAAACAGGGTGCAGTGGAAAGCCATGGCACTCAAGCAAGCAGGCAGAGCCTCAGACAGAGCCTCAGACAGAGCCTTGCCCAGTCTGCATGCGGCTTCCAGGGTTCTCATGTCACTCACCTGAGCAACAAGGGAGCTGGATTGTAGGAGGCTGAAGGGTCGTGGCTGGCTACAACATAATACCCGTCACGGACATGACTCTCCGAATTACCTGATGTGTACCTCTGTTTTAGCGCTGGCACCTCTGAGCTTCTTCTCAATTATTTCAGCAAATCTGGTCGGTGTCATCTCATTGGCTGGAGTCTCCATCAGCTGGCGGGCCAGGTTCTGCCCAGCAGCGAAGAGCACTCCTTTCTGCCAGGCCTCCTGGCCCTCGCTGGGGAAGAAGGCAGGAGGTGATGTCACATCTCCAGCACCTGGCCATTTCATGGCAACAGGCTGTTGGCTCACACACGGCAAGAGGGGCAATTTCAAGACAACAGACACTGGGGAACTGGATTCACTCCTGTGCAATCTGACCCGAGCAACACAGGGCATGGGGCGAAGAGCCAGAAAATGGGCCCCACCAAGCAGCACCTGGGGGCTCCCGGCTGTGCAGCTGCCTTGAGATTCCCCCACTGCACAAGAGAGGTGCTGGATTGATGGGCCCGGGAGCTCTGCTTCTCCCACACAAACAGAGGAGGTTCCCACACACAGAAAGGCCTGTTTTGGTCTCCATCAGCCCCCAGTGCTGTGACACAAGCCAGCAATACCCATTCTGAAGTGGCACTGAAAGCTCTGCCCCTTCTCATGACTGGATCCCATACTGTTATTCCAATCCGCTGGAGGTTAAGAATGAGCTCTGGAGAAGAGTGGACTGGGAGCTTCCATGCTCCTGGCTCCCCCCTGCCTGCCCTGCCTAATCTTAACGCCCCAGTCAGGAGCTCAGAGCACTTACAGTGCACCACACACCTGCTGGGCTGTCTGGGTCTCCAGAACCCCTAAGGAAGCGACCTTACAGCTCTGCTGACACATGACACACAGTGAGGTCCCCATGTAAGCAGGGAAGCCATGACTCCAGACCAGGCTGCTTGGCCACAGTGCCCTCATTCCCATGCCAGCTGCCAACCCCAAGCAGCACGCAGGGACAGCACTGCGCTCCCAGTCAGTTCCCCCTACTGATGTCCTCGGCCTGTCTGTTCCTGACACATAGACCTGGAACAGGGCTGGCATGTTAAAAGGTGCTTCAAATGAGTCCCCCTGCAGACCAAGAGGTCTGGGCTGCGCCCCCATCCATGTAGCTCTGGTGCTTGGCACAAGGCATGGAGTGGCAAGAGGATGGGAATTGCCTGGGAAGAAACCTAATGGGGCATGTGGGCTGTGTCTGTCCCTGCCCAGGGTGATAGCCACCTAGGCAGGCAGGTATAGAGGGCTGGGGAATCCCAAGGGTCACACACACACAAGGGCAGCCTAGAGCACTGCTTGAGACACTTAGCACTAAGATGGCTGAAGCGACAAGGGAGGTTACAGCCTAGTCGGGGCAGGCAGCTTCCATTCCCAAGGCCACGCTGCCCGAAGGCCAGGGAGGGCCACCCACACCCTGGTCTCCATCACCTTCCGTGCAGCTTCGCGGTCACCACCGTCTTCTTCTTCTGCTTCAGCTCGTCATACTCATACAGGCCGAGCACGGCACCTTCCGCAGCAGCCTGGGCATCGCCGCAAGGGTCCACCTCCACGCAAGACAGCTCCAGCTCCTGCAGCTGCCGGCACCCCGCTTCCCAGGGGCCAGAGGAAAACCACAGTCAAGGGCGAGTCAAACAGCAGCAGGCAGCCAGAACTGCGGACGCAGACCCAGCCCTGCCACCTGACTGGTCTGCACCCCATTTCCTCTTCTGTGAAATGAGGGCCTGGGAGGTGTGGACTTACTCCTAAGAGCGCATGCAGGGAGGCCCTGAGGAAGCGGCAGCAGCTTCGACTGGCGCTGGTGCCGAAATGCCAGCCACTACTGAGGACACCCCTCTGTCACTGTGAGCTTCCCAGATGACAAACGGCCAATAAAAGGCTAACTTTGACGTTACATCCAAGGAACTCAGCCAAACCCACCATTCACACAGGCGAGGTCAACAAAAACTCCTTTACACGAGTTGCAAAATTACCACCTCATGTGACCTTTGTGACAGCAAACTTCCCAAGCATTTATAAAACACACAGGGCCAAAGGCTCAACAAATCCTGCCCTGAATGCTTCTGAAGTGAAGGCACCTTAGAACCCCAGCAGGTACACAGGGGAGGCTCCCCCGAGTCACTGGCACCACCAACCTCCACACTCTCAAACCTCTGCCAGGACCACCTGGGCTGGACAGAGCTCTGTCTGCTGGCGAGAGACAAGCACCCACCCTGCCTGCCCTATCTCCGACTTGTGAACATGAGTTCTCCCTTCCCGAGCGACTTAAAGTCTGGGCACCAGCAGTGTCACCCAAAGAAGGAAATCCATACCCCACACCTTAACACAGATACGGTGGCCATGGTGAACAACAGGAAAACTCCCAAGAAAGAAATATGGACATAGACAGAAATAGCAAAATTAAAAATCCCAGCAGCCAATCGCAGGTACCAACTGCATGGCCAAACATGATCACCAGTGGGAACTGGGTTTTGTAAAGCTGAGTGAGTGTGCCAAGGGCAGTGGTGACGACTGAGAGGGCAGGAGAAGTGGGAGACAAGCTTGGAAAAAGGGAGACACAAGTGGATGCTGAGGGACACGGGGCTGTCACCAACATTACACGGGAAGGGAAAGAACCTGCGACGGCGGTGCGGATGTTTTCCTTCCCTTCGTGCCAGTTCTCCAGCTCGTGGACTCCGGCTGTCTTCTTGCCAAGGCCAACGACCACCACACTGGGGAAGTCCTGTTCCACAGAGTTACCAAGTCAGCCCTCTACTCCTTCAGGTGCTCACTGCCACCAGCGAAGGGCACATGTGGACTCACTGTAAGTCTGGCTACGAGGGGCTTTTTTGTTTGTTTTTGAATGTTTGTTTATTTTTCCATCTACTTGTAAGGCAGAGTGACAGGGAGTGGGCAAGAGGTCTTCCTTCTACTGACTCTCTCTAAATGCCTGCCACAGCCAGCTGAGTCAGGTTAAAGCCAAGCGCCTGAAACTCCGTCTGGGTCTCCCATCTGGTGCAGGGATGCAGTGGCTTACGGAGTCACAGCACTCACACTTGGCAGTGTGCTGGTTGTGGTCTGTTTGTTTTTAAGTTTTGTGTCTTGGCAAAAATTCCTAACCTGTGCACATGTAAGAGGACAATAATCCTGCAAGTCATTTTAGGTGATACAATGCCAAAACCTGCGCAAAATCTTCCGGCTGGGGAACACAGAATGAGCATTACTTTTTTAGTCATAAGAACTCTTCTCAATCTTATATAATTTTATACTTGAATAAACCCAAAGTCTTAGCACAACCAGGTAGCCATGGTACCCGACACACAGTAGTACTCCCCGGGGGGGGTTCCCATGCCAACATCATCTTTGTCTCATACCTGATGCAGACCATAAAAGGTTCGGGTTTTGCCTGCTTTCAGAGGTGGTCCAGATCTAAAACAAGGAGAAATCCATGTTTTCAAAATCACAGTTTGCATTACATTTTGTATACATATACACTGCAACAGCATACTGTACCTGATAAGTATGTATAGATATCATGTGCCATTAAAAATAAAATGCATTTTACAGGTTACAGGTGGTTCTGTCTGCCTGTAAAGTGACACACAGATGCCTTCAGCATCACCACAGTATCCCGACACCTGCTCTTGTAGATTTGCTTCATTTACAATTTTCCCCAAACTCAGGCCAGACTTCCTGGTTGTAAAAATTATAACTCAGACACTGTGCAGCCAACTTGCGGATGAGATTTAATGGAACCACATATTTCCAGTGATGGAAAGCAATGCTCTGGGTGGGTCCTGTACCACTGCACAGAGAACTGGACCATGGCAACAAGGAAGGAGTCTTAAGTTTTCCAGTAAGAACCACTGCTGACTGGATGGTGCTAGGATTGTGCTAGAGGTGCCCCGGGACACTGGGCAATTTCCAGTCCAATAGATACAAGATTACAGCCAGACCTGGAGCACAGATGTGGTGGTGCTGCAAGCCCCATCACTGTGGGGAGGACCAGGGTGATCTACACTGACAGGCTGGCTTTTGATGAACCAACTCAACAGAGCAGGTGAAGGGCTCACAGCTGATAGGAACTCAACTTCTGTGGAGATAATCAGTAGACGGCACCTTTTACATTCTGATAGGTTATCTATAACGCAGGTAATTAAGTGTGCCCTCAATGATTTATGTTGGTACTTCTGTTCTGCCACAGGTGGCCTGTGGGTGCAATGTTCCTCCACTTGCCCTGGACCCTGGCTGAGGGGGACTTACAGAATCAGCTCTGCATTCGAAGCACAACCCAGCTGACTGACTTGAGAACCCTAACCCTTGTCTGCTTTTCACCTGCCCTAGGGGCCCCCGGTTCCCTAAGCAAAGGGGAGCTAAAGGAGGTAGCCACCACAGAAAGGTCAGAAGGGAGAATGGGGGCAGGCAAAGTAAAGGGAGGAGGAAAGGATGAGAAAATTCAGTACTTTCCAGATCCTTCTAGATCGGTCCTTCACAGATTTTTGATTGGGTTGGAAATCATTTCGAATTCCCAGAAATTTGACCTACCCACAAAGACACAATGCCAGAGACAGAGTTTCAATTTCATGGCAACTTCCTAGCCAGGGTAATTTCATTTTATCTACTAACAGTTAAGCCTAAGAAGATTCTCTTTCAATTTGGAACAACACACGCCAGGTAACACTTACAAGTTCACAATTTCTCTCAGCTTTCCAGCCACCAATTTATCAAACTTCTCCCCTGCACTTGTGAACTGGGGCACGTCATCTTCTTTGTCTTTGGAATAGATCCCTAAAACAAGGCCCTGAGAACAACCAAGAAAGATGAATTCCATTAGAGGGGATCCCTTTCAGGGGCTCAGGGATAACCATTCCAGCAGACAGAGCCCCAGGGGCAGAAAGGTGAAGCTAAACATGGCAGGTGCCAGGCAGTCAGCTACACTGGCTCACTGGCTACAGGTCCCAGATCTGTGCCAAGCACGAGTGGAATCACTGCCCATGCTGGTCCTGTCCTGGACCTTTTAGGTCAATCCCAGGGAAAGACCTCACTTGCAAGCAGAGCAGAACTCGTATTTTGCTTCAGCCTCCATTTGTCCCCAACTCAGGCCCCAAGGCGGCTGAGAACCTTCCTCCCTGTCCGGCTCTCGTACAGAGAAAGCTGCACACCTGGAAAGAACACACAGAGCAAGGGTTCTCCGACCTCTTTCAACCTTCTCCTTTCCACCTACCAGCAGATCCCAGTTTCCTAACAGAAAGGTGCCCTCCCTGGGTGAGAAAGGGAACATTCTTATCACCAGAGCCTGGGAGGTGACACCAAAATGAACCTGTAAAGCAAAGGTATTAAAATAACCCTTCCCTCCCATTAGTTCCTCTCATTCATTTCCCACTCACTGCCCCACAATTTACTGTCTATAAGCCAGGTTCCTTACCTTGTCTTAATGAATGGCAACAATGTATTGGTTTTTTGTTCTAAAGATACACAAAGCTTCTAGAGATACAGACAGAATTATCTTCCATCTGCTACTTCACTCTCCAAGTGTCCTCAATGGCCGGGGCCACAGCTAAGCAGATCCAAAGCCAGGAGCCAGGACCTTCTTCTGGGTCTCCCACAAACGCATGGGGCCCTAGGACTTGGGCCGTCCTTGACTGTTTTCCCAGGCCACAAGCAGGAAGCTGGATGGGAAGTGAAGTAGCCGGGACACAAACCAGCACCCATATGGGATTCCAGTGCACAGGAAGCAAGGCCACTGAGCCACTGCAACTAGCCCAATCTGTGTGATTTTCTGGTTCTAGTATGTCAGGGTACAAGGACAAGATGTTCCTACCCCTGCAGCCTTGCGGATCACCTGGCCAACTCAGGCAGAAAGACAGAAAAAAAGGCAGGGGGCCCTCCAGTCACAGCTTCTGCTTCTAAAGACTCAACCTTTTGCAAGTCAAAATTATTCAAGGAAAAACATACAGCTTTTTCCGTAATTGTATTGTAATCTAGAGATGATTTCAACTGGACTGGAGCATGTATGCAGATGAGCTGCAACCAGCACACACACAGGGCTCTGAGCAGCTGTAGAAATTTGCTACCTGCAGCTTCCTGCAACTGGGCTCCCAGAAACTGGGGTTCCACTGAGTGCACCTCAGACGGCGTGTGGAAGCTCACCCCTGCACCTCTCTCACAAGCCCCAGCCCCAGTCACCTCAAGCACAGAAGCAACCCCGGACTATTTGCTTCTGCACCACCACGGAGGACTTTCAGAACGCTGTGGGTGGTGGGAATAAGAATGGGCAGTCCTCTGCCCGCCTGACAGGTCAGGAAATGAACCCTGCTGTGACCCACTGGCCTCGGTGGGTGGAACTGAGCCAGAATTCAGAAGCGTTCCCCTACCCAGTTCTAGATCCTTGCCACGAAACTACACGGGCAGCTCGGCCACACCGCATCGCTTTTCCATCCAGTAAAACAAGTCTCGCCTGGGGACTCCTGGGGACACTGCCACCTGTGCAGACGTGGCGGCGCAGCAAGGAGAGAAGCACCGGGTAGGATGGCGGAAAAGTCCCCAGGGGATGCGAGCCTCAGCGTTCCTCCCCGGTACGCTTCCTTCCTTCCTTCCTTCCTTCCTTCCTTCCTTCCTTCCTTCCTTCAGGCCCCCAAGCCTGCGCTCTTCCCCTTGAGCCACCGCTCCTGAACGGCGCCCCTCACAAGGGCTCCGAACTCCAGGAGTCGGGTGGGCTGGGGGCCGCTTTCGGCTGGAAAGGGCTGGTCTCTCCCAGAACAGAGGAGGCCAAGGCCTCGCGACCTTTCACCCGAGGGGAGGGTCTCGGGCAGGGCCACTCTCCTTGGGACCTTAGAAGCCATTCGTCCCGCCACTTTTGGGCGTCCTCCAAGCTCCGCGGGGACAACACAGTCCCTGCTCTCCCGGGCGAAGGTGAGGGGTGAGCAGGTCCCCGCGGGAGCAGGAAGCCCGACTGCTCGGAAAGAGCCGGCAGGGGAGCCGGGGGCGGGGAGTGGAGCAGACTCCTGCCCGGGGAGAGGAAGGACTCGGCGGTTGGAGGCCCCGGGCACACGGCCTCCCCCACCCTGCAGCCCGGGGCTGGCGGGCAGCTCCCACCTCCGAGCGCGCCGCCGCCGCCTCTCACCTTTGTCATGTCTGCGGTGGCGAGACCCCGGCCCCACAGTCGCCTCGCTCGCAGACGCCGGACGGCGATTCTGCCGGCAGCCGGAAGAGGCAGCCAGAACATCTTCCCAGCTCGGCCCCCTGCACCGCCCTCGGGAGAGCACGTGGCGCCCGCTCGGCCGGCGCGCGCGCGCACTGACAGGCGGAACCGGGGCGGTGCGCGCACTCCCGGCGCGACAGGTGTCCGGGGGCGGGGCTTGGCGTGAGACGACCCTCGGGGGTCGGGGCTGGGCCCCCGGCGAGTGCCCGGCGAGCTCCTGAAGCTGCGGTCAGGGATGCTGAAATGTCCAGGCCGGGTGGGGGAAAGCCCTCCCACTGAGTGAATTTTATTCCCGTCCTCACTTCTGAACTTTCTCGTGGTCCAAGGGTACAACGCTGATCAGGATAACCAGCCCAAATACTGCGTCTGAACATCAGCTTTGCTACTAGAACGCGGTGTTTTAACACACTTTCATGTTTATAAGCATGTACGCCTGAAAGCAACTCGGAGAACGTAGAAGGCCCACGGAGGGATACGGAAATCAACAAGTTGTTAATTGCTAATGTCTGTCCAAGTCTCGGGTTGTCAACTTGGCGTTTAATTATTAGCTGGGGAGCACCAGGTAAGAGGTGGGCAGTGGGAGGTTTCCTCCTCGGGGACATGTCCCTGTCGCAGGAGGCTGGACGGAATGGAGCTGGCAGCTCAGCTCTGTCTCCCACGTTTTCCAGGTAATTCGAGCTGAGATGCATAATGAACTCAGCAAAATCACCAAAATTCATACCATATGCGCCCCAAACAGAGGCACCCTCCCTTGCACTTTGTAACTTCCCCCGACACAGCGTGGTGGTGGATCAGGCTGCGTGTGGGCCCTGAGCGCTGTGGCCCTGAGCTGTGGGTGATGCTGTCTGCCAGCCCACCAGCCCCCCGGCCCGCCAGCCCATCAGCCCACAGCCCCCAGGCCCGGCAGCCGGGCCACGCTCTCTCTTTCATTGCTTTGCTGCCCCAGCCACAGACTCTGAACAAGCGTTTATTTCCTTCTCTTGTTACTTCGAGATCACGTGTTACATTTTCCAACAGCTTATGGTGTGAGGGAGAGACGTTTCACAGCCTGTTCCTGAGGACTCCAGAGTACAGGGTTTAATCTCAGTGAAACCTGTTTGCAAGATGCTCAGCACACGTTTTAAAGGTTTTATTTCTTTATGTATTTTAAAGATGGAGGCAGAGATCTTCAGTCCCCTGGTTCATTCCCTGAATGGGCCCAACAGCCAGATCCGAGCCAGGATCAAAGCAGCAGCTGACACTGCATCCTGATCACACGTGTGGATGGCAGGGGCCCGAACAGTCGGACTGTCCTGGCTGCACTTCCAGGTACATTACCAGACATTAACAGGACGCCGAATCCTAAGCAGAGCACCCCAAACTGTGAACATACACTCGGAGGTGGAACGCTGGTGTCATAGGCAGCGGGTTAAGGTGCTGCACCACAACAGCATCTCCTAATGGACTTTATTGTTGTTGTTGTTGTCGTAGCTGATTGAAAGATGTATGTTTTATTTGAAGTCAGATATACAGAGAGAAGGAGATAGAGAGCAAGAGAGCTTTCATCCGCTGGTTCACTCTCCAAGTGGCCACAAAGACCAGAACTGAGCTAAGCTCATCCAAAGCCAGGAGCCAGAAGCTTCTTAAGGGTCTCCAACATGGGTGCAGGGTCCCAAGGCCTTGGACTGACCTCAGCTGTTTTCCCAGGCCACAAGCAGGGAGCTGGATGGGAAGTGGAGCAGCTGGGATACGAACTGGCACCTATATGGGATCCTGGTGGCAGGTGCAAGGCAAGGATTTAGCCACTAGGCTACTGCGCCAGGCCCTGTTGTTGCTGCTTTAAGATTTAATTTTTATTGGTTTGAAAGGCACAGTTACAGAAAGGGAAATACAGAGAAAAAGATCCTCCATTTATTGGTTTTGCTCCCCCAAATGACCAGGGCTGGGCCAGGCCAAAGCCAGGAGCCCAGAGCCTCCTCCAGGTCTCCTACATGCATGCAGGCACTCAATCATTAGGCCTGAGGATGAAGTTAACATAAAACAAATCAGCAGTAGAAAAATGTGTAAACTTTATTTAATGTTTCCTCAACAGGAAAACACAAACCTCCAAGGTAGTTAGGCCTGAATGCTTATGTAGTAGGTTGAGCAAAGAGTAGTAGTTATGAAAAAGTAGATAAAATAAATGAGGCAGCGTTAGCATCTTGGGGTCGGGGAGTACAGGTTTCTCTAGCCTTGACTCTGTGAGGATAATAACTATTTCCTCCTGGCACACACAGCACATCTTTTATGTGGAAGTTTTCCTTCCTTCAGGAAGAAAAGGGGAATCCAGAACTTTAGCTCAAAGTAATCTGCATGGAAGTGGCATGTCTGGCCATGCCTCATTAGCGGGGAGACACAGAGATGCCGTGCGGGCGGCCCGGGGTGCCGTGCACGTGGGGTGCATGTGGGGTGCATGTCCCCTGTGTCGGGCCCCGAGTCCAGTCCCAGCCGCTCCATTTCCCGTCCAGCTCCCTGCTGGTGTGCACCGGGGAGGCAGGACATGCTGGCTCTAGTGTCCCTGCCAGCCATGTGGGAGCCCTGATTGAGGCTGCAGGCTCCTGGTTTCAGCCTGACCCCATTCCAGCTATCGTGGGCATTTGTGGAACAACCCAACATGTAGAAGACTTCTCTGTTTTTTTTTTTTTCTCTCTCTCTCCTTAAAATGAAAATAAACATAAATTTTAGAAAGATGTTAAGATAAAAAAAAAACCATGTTTTTTATTATTATTTTATGATACAGTTCCATAGGCCCTGGGATTTCCCCTATTCTGTCTTCAAGTGTCCTCCTCCATCACGTTCCCCCATATCATTGCAGCAGTGTAGTTCCCCATAAACAGTCATTGCAGGCATGGACAATGGCAGAGTCCAGGTCCCATTTGACAGTGCAAAATATGGGTTTTTTTTAAGAATGTATTTCATACAATTAAATATGCATGTGCTCAAATTTGCTGTACCCCCTTCTTGGCTTGACCAAAGCCATTTCCTCCAGGAAACGCTCACTGGCCTTCCATGTCTCAGTCTTGTGCCTCTGTCCGTTCCCAAAGCAGCCTGCCTAGTGCAGCTAATCCTGTGTCCTCGACATCTGGTTCTCTGTGGGCACATGAGGGGCAAGGGCTGGCTTTCATCTTTGAAAACTCTAAATAAATGGACTATGCCTTATACTACGCAAAAATTCTCATGAATTATTTGAATGTGCAATCAAGGTCTAGTGGAGGTAGCAAAGATGATTAAGCAATGGGATAACTGCCACCTGTGGCTTTCGCATAATTAATACAAACCTCAGCAGAATGAGAGGACAGAGTTAATTAAGGAGAAAGGACCTCATGACCCCAGAAGAGTGTGTAGGAAGGGTTGGGTTGGCGTGGCTTGGGGTGGAGGGAACAGGCCTGTTTGGAATGCTTTTTAAAGGGGGGTGGGAATGGTTATATGCAGAGAGCGATACTGGATCAAAGGGGATCTTGAAAGGCAGAAAGCTTACTGTGGAGGTGGGTGTCAGTAAGGAACCACTGCTGGTCTTTGTAGCAGCCTGGGAGAGTGGGAGGTTAAAGATATGTTATTGCGACTGACAGACACTGGCGTCAGGGGCAGAGAGACTGAGCATTCAGCAGTCTGTGCTTCTGTGGGAAGCTGGGCGTTGTTCAGGACTCTGGGAAAGACTCCTCCAGGCTCCTGTGGAGTCCACACACATTCTCTCCTGTCCAGTAGGAGTTTAACTGGCAGCCCTCCCTCCTCTGAGGAAAAGCTGGTGTTGTCTCCATTTCTACACTTATTTCAACAGAAATCTGTTGTTAGAATTCTCTTTTGAACAAAATAACTAATCTGATTTCTTCATGAACTAAATAAAAATCTTCTTTTGAATACACTCAGCACCTGTGTCAGTGAGCATTTTTTGTAAAGATTCATTTACTTTTATTAGAAAGGCAGATTTGTAGAGAGTGCCGTGTCCTGCAGCGATGGACTTGGTGCACGGAGCCGATAATAACACACGTGGACCCTGACTGATGGTCAAAGCCGAAATTTATTAGTGGCATCAGACTTTATGCACTGAGGGTTATGTAGGATAACGGAGGAAGTATTGAGCTCATCAACAAAATCCTGTAAGTTTCTATGCTTTTGTTTGGAACTCCTTTTGTCTTGTGTATTCCACCAAGTGTTCTCACACACATACTGTCCATTCAACTGTTCTTATACAAATGATATGCAATCAGGTATACAAAAGGTGGCCATTCGGTTGTTCTCATGCAAATATTAGCCAATCAACTGTAATCCTGTGCTCGCTGACCTTCTAGGGTCACAATGTCCTCCTACAGAGAGCAAAGACAAAGACCTATCCACCAGCTCACTCACCAAGTGGGTGCAACAGCCAGAGCTGAGCTAATCTGAAGCCATGAGCCAGCAGCCTCCTCTGGGTCTCTCCCAAGGGTGCAGGGTCCCAAGGTTTTGGGCCATCCTCTGCTGCTTTCCCAGGCCACAAGCAGGGAGCCGGATGGGAAGTGACGCAACCAGGACATGAACCGGCATCCAAGAGAGAAGCCAGTGCTTGTACACTGAGGAATTGAGCCATTGTGCCAGGTCCTAAAGAAAATCCTTAACGCGTGTTCCTCTTTATATTTAAATGAGAGAAATTTAGTAGCAACCCATCTTCTTAATAATGTTTCCAGTCTGAGCTATTTTGTTACAGCAACACAAAATGGACTTGGGACGGTCACCAACCCCATGGGGGTGGTGAATCATTTCTGGGCTGCTAACACCTGACCACTGCTTATAAAAACTTGCTAGACTGCTGTTATTTTGATCTTTGTTTCACAGGTGTACTTGAATTCCAACTAATGTGTACAGGTAACATTGCAAAGCTTTGCTCAAAATATGCCTTTAATTCCTCTCCCTCCTTGGTTTCAAGCTAGTGAAAATTCCTCCTAATTCTCATTTGCACTTTGGGTCTTTTCTTCTCCTCTTTGGATCTCCTCCAACCCTCCTTCCCCGCCCCCTTCCCTTTTTGAATGTGGACACACATTGTTG